AAAAAAAAAAAAAAAAAAAAAAAAAAAATCTTTGAGTGAAGCACCAGATTATAAAAGGCATTTTATTTTTTGGCCACACCGCACGGCTTGTGGGATCTTAGTCCCCAACCGGGGATCAAACTCGGGCCCTCGGCAGTGAAAGCATGTAGTCCTAACCACTGGACCACCAGGGAATTCCCTGTAAAAGGTATTTTATTTTTTTTCAAATTTATTATTTATTTATTTTTGGCTGAACTGGGTTTTCGTTGCTGCGCATGGGCTTTCTCAAGTTGCAGCGAGCGGGAGCTGCTCTTTGTTGCGGTGCACAGGCTTCTCATTGCGATGGCTTCTCTTGTTGCAGAGCACAGGCTCTAGGCCCACGGGCTTCAGGAGTTGTGGCTCACAGGCTCAGTAGTTGTGGCACACAGGCTCAGTAGTTGTGGCGTGCGGGCTCTAGAGTGCAAGCTCAGTAGTTGTGGCACACAGGCTTAGTTGCTCCACAGCATGTGGGATCTTCCTGGACCTGGGCTCAAACCTGTGTCCCCTGCATTGGCAGGCGGATTCTTAACCACTGAGCCACCAGGTAAGTCTCTGTAAAAGTCATTTTAAAGCAAACTATTTGATAGTGCCAAACATGTTGTTGCACTTTGTAACTAAGCATACAGCCTTGTAACAGAATGATAGAGATTTTTTAAAGCAACATAAGAATGATAAACAGGTATGAAATGCGAAATTGTTCCTTGAATGCAGAACTAAGACAGAACAATGGGAGGAAGTTACTGAACGCTGTTTTAATGAGGTAGACACTAAGGCTTTATGTGCTTTGTGTGTTTTCTTTAATCATAGTTACAAAATCAGAACCTAGAGAAACTTGTACCCTTCAAATATATACAGATCCACAATCGCTTTTCTGTAGTTTTGAAACCCTCAAAGCTCTGAAAGATGAATTTTTAAAAATTAATCTGGGGCTTCCCTGGTGGCACGGTGGTTAAGAATCCACCTGCCAATGCAGGGGACATGGGTTCACTCCCTGGCCCGGGAAGATCCCACATGCCGCGCAACTAAGCCTGTGCGCCACAACTACTGAGCCTGCGCTCTAGAGCCTGCGAGCCACAACTACTGAGCCCACGTGCCACAACTACTGAAGCCCGCGCACCTAGAGCCCATGCTCCGCAACAAGACAAGCCACGACAATGAGAAGCCTCCGCACCGCAACGAAGAGTAGCCCCCACTCACCACAACCAGAGGAAGCCCAGCACGGCAACGAAGACCCAATGCAGCCAAAAATAAAAACAAACAAACAAAAAAATAAATTTATAAAAAATAAAAAGTTAATCTGTGCAAATTCATCTGCAACAAAACATGACCCGAATGACGCGAGGTCATTTATGGTCTTCATTTATTTTACTTAGTGTACTTTTCAAACATTTTTCTACGGGCACATTAAGATGCGGCTTGGGAGGTGTTACGTACCATATTACTTTTCTAAAATATGCAAATTCCTGGATTCCAAACACGTCTGGCCCAGGAGTTTCAAATAAGGGATTATGGTCCAAATTAAATATGATGCAAACATTGATTCAAGGAATGGACATAGTAGAGCGTCTGACTTCCCAAAATCTGATTTGGACTAATATAGATTACATGATATAGTCAGTAAAAAAGCAATCATGCAAATCATTAAGCCAGTATTTATTGAACGTTCATGGGATAAGTAACATGGCACCGTGTAAAGGAAGCATTCACCAGTGAGTACCGTCTGTCTTTTATAGGTGAACATCGTTCACATCGCACAATTGATTTAATGACACATGCTTAACACGTTGGTATTTATAATTTTCCTAGGTTACCAGTAAATTTTTGGAAGAGGTTCTTTAATGAAAATCCCTTTTATTCTTGTTTTGCTTTTTTTACAGGGTGTTCATAAGAATGGAAGCACTGTTTCCTTGCCAAATTCCTTATTGCTATATCTTATGAACCTACATAATCTTGAGGAAGAGCCTGTGCTTAATGATGACAAGCCTGTCACCAGTGTAGCAACAACAGTCTAAGGGCAAAAACGAACAAAAATAAAGAAGCATTTATATTCAACAAGGAAGTCATTTCAGTCAACAACTTGTGCTGCATTATTTTTCCAAGATGAACCGATACACAACCATGAGACAGCTGGGGGACGGCACTTATGGGAGTGTGCTGATGGGCAAGAGTATCGAATCAGGGGAGCTGGTGGCCATCAAAAGGTACCATGGGCACCACTGCCAAGTTTGCCGATCTTTCTTTTCCTTTGCTTGCTTGAGACTGTATACAAATACAGAGAGAAGTCTGGTTTAGACCCCATGCTCGTTAGGCTAATATCGAACACCATTCTGGAGAAAACACTGCCAAAAAGGAGTTCAGCTGATCCCCACATATGTTAATTTTCTGATTTGTCCAGCTACATGGACAAATCAAAAAATATAAGGCCTCTGCTTTTCATGCATGATACATTTGAACTGAAACTGAAGGTAATTTTGGAACTTAAAGCTGAGTACAGAGTAGAGCTTATTGTTTCTTTGAAACAATAGGTCTCAAAATCAGATGGTATTCATAGTATCAAACTGAGTTCTGAGTGGCATATGGAATTTTCCGGACCTTACCAATTAAATAGAGTTAATTATCTTATTTCTTTAATCCACTGTATCTGTTATCTATCATATGTAAAAAAAAAATTACCCCAAAGCTTAATGATTTAAGACAAGAACAAACATTGATTAATTCACAGTTTCTGTGAGTCAGGAATTTAGGAGTAGCTCAGCTGTGGTTCGGGCTACAGGTCCCTCGTGAGGTGGCAGTAAGAGGTGGGCCAAGGTCACAGTCATCTGCAGGCTGAACCAGGGCTGGAGCACCCATGCCCAAGGTGGTTCACTGTATCAGTCTGCTGGGGGTGCTACAACGAAGTACCACAGACTGGGTGATTTAAACAATGTATTTATTTCCTCACAGTTCTGGAGGCTAGAAGTCAGAGATCAAGGTGTCAGCTAACATGGTTGGTTCATGTAAGACCTCTCTCCCTGGCTTGTAGATGGCTCTCTTCTCCCCATGTCTTCACATGATCGTCTCTCTGTGCATGTCGTGTCCTCATCTCTTCTTATAAGGACATCAGTCATATCGGATTAGGACCTACCCTAAAGACCTCACTTAACCTGAATCCCCTCTTTAAGGTCTACCTCCAAATACACTCTGAGGTACTGGGAGGTCAGGACTTCAACACAGGAACTTAGAGCATCATTTGGCTCATACTTGGCTTCTGTAGCGAAGTTTAAGCCACAGACTGGGTGGCTTAAACAGCAGAGATTTATTGAGACACTTTTGGAGGCTAGAAGTCTAACATCAAGGTGTCAGCAGCGTTGGTTTCTGCTGGGGGCCCGGAGGACAGGATCTATTGTAGGCCTTTCTCCTTGGCTTATTCATGGTGTTTTCTCTCTGTATCCCTCCCACATCAGCTTCCCTCGATGCCTGTCTCTGTGTCCAAATTTCCTTTTTTTATAAGGACAAAAAGAGGCCTCAATTTCTCTCTATATGGGGCTCTACAGACAGTCACTTGAGTGTCCTCATGACATGGCAATTGGCTTCCCCAGAACGAGTCTTGGAAACTGATTACAACATCAACTAAATGATGATCTAAAATTTAAATGCTTTAACAAATGTTTATCAAATGTTAAAAACTTTACACTATCATGATCTAAAACGTTACATATATAAGAAAATACTTTTATAAGATATTGTTAAATAGCCATTATTATCAAATAAGTAAATGTACAATATACAATAACTGAAATGAAAAATAGGAAAAAGAAGAAACTTCCCTGACTTGAAAGGTGAAATATTACAGGTACTTCTTGTAAAGTTGGTTTTAAGACCAGAGTGCCTGCTATATCCCCTACTGATCAAGATTGAACTGGAGACCCTAACTAAGGCAACAAGAGAAAAAAATAATAAATGAGGTGTAAGTATCAGACAAAATGAGATGAAATCATCCTTATTTGTGGGTTAAGCAATTATGTAAATTCACACAGATGAATACTTCATTACACATAAATAAAGTTATACGTAAAAATATCTTTAAAAGGACTGTAAAGATTTACATAAACTTCGTGAAATCTGTGGCTTCCGAGGAGAGGGGGTAAGAAAATGAGAATGAGGGTTGGGTCTCGTGGTATCATTTAAGGTTATTACCGTTGGTTTGTTTTTTTTTTTTTTTTTTTTTTTTCCCGTTGGTTTGTTTTCTATAACAAAATGTTCATTATTGCTTCTGTGTGGCAAGATCATGTGTTTGTTTCAGTCTTCAGTTTCATAAAATGGGGAATTGGGCCTCACTTGCATAGAGCTGGGTAAGACCTTGAGAGAAGTGAGAGGTCAAATCCTTTAAGAAGTCAAATAGATTGAATGCTGAGAAGAAGTCATACGTGTATAATTTAGGAATGCTTTTGGTGTATGAAATTAAAAAAACAAACCAAAAGTAAATTAAATAGGGATTTATTTGTTTCACATTGTAAAATGTTTTGAGGTAGACAGCCCAGGGCTCATACCTTGTCTCAATGCTGTTATCACAGACCTAGGTTCTTTTGTCTTCAAAAAATAGCTGCAGTAGGAGAGGGTGTGGAGAACAGGGAACCCGCCTACATTGTTGGTGGGAGTGTAAATTGGTGCAGCCACTATGGAGAACAGTATGGAGGTTCCTCAAAAAACTAAAAATAGAGTTACCATATGATCCAGCAATCCCACTCCTGGGCACATACCCAGAAAACCCTATAATTCAAAAATATACATGCACCCCTGCATTCATAGCAGCACTATTTACAATAGCCAAGACATGGAAGCAACCTAAATGTCCATCGACAGATGAACAGATAAAGAAGATGTGGTATATATATGCAATGGAATACTACTCAGCCATAAAAAGGAATGAAATAATGCCATTTGCAGCGACATGGATGGACCTAGAGATTATCATACTAAGTGAAATGAGTCAGAAAGAGAAAGACAAATATCGTATGATATCGCTTATATGTGGAACCTAAAATATGACACCAATGAACTTATCTGTGAAACAGAAACAGACTCACAGACATAGAGAACAGACTTGTGGTTGCCAAGGGGGAGGGGGTCGGGAGACGGATGAACTTGGAGTTTGAGATTAGCAGATAGATGAAAACTCATATATAGAATGGATAAACAAGGTCCTACTATACAGCATAAGGAACTATATTCAATATCCTGTAATAAACCATAATGGAAAAGATATGGAAAAGAATATATAGAGACATATAACTGAGTCACTTGGCTGTGCAGCAGAAATTAACACAACATTGTAAATCAACCATACTTGAATAAAAAAATTTAAAAACATAGCTGTAGCAGTCTAGGCCTTGAGTGTGAGTTCCGAGTAAGACGAAATAAGGAAGAGCTGAAACAGTTACTGTTACTGTCAGTCAGTTGCTGTACTTTCTTCTCATTAGGAAAGCGAAAGCTTTCCCCCACCCCTCTCCAGAAGACTTCTGGTTTCTCCTCAGTGGCCAGGAGTGTGTCTGTCACGTGGCACACGTAGCAATAAGAGAAGCTGGGAAACTGAGTACTTCGGTGGCCATTTTGTATCCCTGGGTTAAAGCTGATCTATGTTAATAAAGAAGAGAAGAAAAGTGGCTCTTGCATAGACAAGTCATAGTGTCTGCCACATGCAGTATCTACTATGTGCCAGACAGTGTTCCTACCCTAATTAAAGACAGAGTAAAAATGAATGAGAAGAGGATGAGTCATTTGGAAGGCTTGCAAAAAGTTTAAAAATTCATTCAACATGTAATTGTTAAGCTACGATTACACTTGGTGCTCGGGACAAATGGGGATGGGATAGATGAGTTATAAATAGACCAACAAATTACAAAAGTGACAACACAAAATATGATCAGTCCTATGATGGGGGGATACCGGGGCCTATGGGAGCACAGAGAAGCAGTGCTGCAGAGGTATCTTGGAAGGCTTCCCCCATAAAATGAGATCTCGAGAATGACAAAAATTCTCAAGAGGAGAGGAAGAATATTCCAAGCTGTAAGAATAATATGTATGAAGGCCTAGAAGCAAGAGAGTTTTTCCCTTGGGAAATTTAATCTAGGTCACTGGTAAGAAACCTTGTGGTATCTGTTGCCATCTCCAAAAAAAATCTGTAACAGAATTCATTCTAGGGGGTGTCGGTAAGATCCCCGCACCTCATTAAATTAACAAATATCCCTAAGCTCTCTGCCCTTTAAAGACCTAAGAGGCTATTCCATTCCTGAGGATGTCCTGTTTGTGGGACAGCTCCTCAGGACCCCAGCTGTGGGTCTCGAAATCCATCCATCCATTCAGTAAACATTGATTGAGCACTTACTATGTGCCAGAAACTGAGCAGAAATGTGGAGGTGTCCTCAAGGAGCTTGCGTGTGAGGAGAGGGGAGAAGGACTAAACATAAAAGTAAACTATATGGTATGCAAGAAGGTGGGTAGAGTGCTACGGGAGAAAAAGCAGAGCAGGAACGGTGACCTCACAGCCATGAAAATCAGCTCCGGGCATTAAAGGAACAAGGATCGACGTGAGGTGGTCTCTCATTTCCGCTAACCAGCCCAGCTCTTTCTAGCTGTTTCTGTCTGGCTGAATCTTCTTTTTTTCAGCCTTCACATGCTGGCACCTTCTGTCTTTCAGGTCTCATCTGAAATACTGCCTCATCAAAAAGGCCTGGGGCCTGGCCAATTCATCTCATGATCCTGAAAGCTCATTTGTATGTCTGTTTTGTGTTAACTAAAGTCTATCTCCTGTGAGATGGGAAGCATCAGGGTAACCATCTCTGATTTCATCACCCTGGCATGTCGGTGTTGGATGAATCAATAAATGAAAGAGAAGATGGCAGGGAATCTAAAAGGAATTCTAACAAATTGGTTTAATTTTTTATAATTAATTCCTTTAGAAATCGGGATAATTGTTTTGCATCGGGAAACTTCTGTATTTGCTGCATATAGATACGTGCGTTACCTTAGGGTAGTATTGATAACTAGTAACTGCTGAAAAGAAAGTAGCATATTAGTATATGTGGATGCAGCTAGTACAGATTTTTAAGAAGAATAAAAGTTTCAATTTGTACTAAATTTTGAAAAGGAACTTGGATATATTAACTAGCCTCTAAAACACTGGATTAAAAATTCTATAATTACTTTTTAAGAATCAGAGATTATATGTATAGTTTTGCATGGATTTGATCAATTTACTAAAATACTTTTATACTATATTTGAATTGACTTCTATTTTATTTCAAATTAAGCACTGTGCTAGATTTACTTTTATCATTTTAGCAAGACATTTATAAATCTATAGTACTGAAACGTATCTTTTGGTAAGTTGGTAAGCCCTCAATTTCTTCAAGCTCCTTCATAAATTTCTAGCGCCTGAATGAGCATAACTGAAATTCTGATTCACTAAGGATATTTTAGAGATAATAGCAGTGATGCCCTTCATACCTTATTGTAGCTGACCACAGATACCAGTAAAAATAAGGACATCTACAATAGCATTTACTGAGTGCTGAACTAAGCAGTTTACAATAGGATTTTCTTATGCAGTAGTTCCTACTTTATAGCTAAGCAGTTTGCAGCACAGAGAAGTCATTAGGCAATTTGCCCAAGAAGTGACACAGTCATGAACCTGCATCAAATGGCCTTGAGATACACAGAAGGGAGATGATCTCCTTTTAAGGAGGAAGGAAAAGAGATATCACAGCTTTTCGCCCAAAGTGAACTAATTATAGAGTAAGAAAGCCAATGGTGTAAACTGTGTCTTCAAATCCCTGGTCCCCACACACTAAACTTTTCTTTTTTTATTGCAGAATGAAGAGAAAGTTCTATTCTTGGGATGAATGTATGAACTTGAGAGAAGTTAAGGTAAAATCCCAGAGATGAAAAGAACCGCAGAAGGCCTTAGCTCTACCTCACATGTGTCTCATTTCTGAGGATGGTAGCTAAGAAGATGGTTCTGTTCTCTGAGGGAAGCAGACCAAAGATAATTATATTTCTTATGTTTTTCTTTATGTTCCTAATTTCTCATTTCTCATCAGAATGTCAGTGGAGAACAGAAAGTAACTACCCTCATATTTAAAAGTATACTCTCACTTTTAAAAGAGCATTTTAATCCATATTATCAAAGGAAAGATAATTTTTTTAATTACCACATACCATTTCTTTATATTTTATGTTGTATAACTTGGATAAATTTTTGGAGACTTTTGCATGGCTTTCCACATAGTTAAGTCAGAAAAAGTTAAACCTATTTAATGACCAAGAAAAAAAAAAGTGACAAATGTTTTGCAGCTATTGTTGACCTGGTTTATTTTTGCACTTATATTCATTACTTAGACAATTACTGATTACTTTATATTTTTTTAATTTTTTAAAAAATTATTTATTTATTTATTTTTGGCTGTATTGGGTCTTCGTTGCTGTGCTTGGGCTTTCTCTAGTTGCGGTGAGTGGGGGCTACGTTTCGTTGCGGTGCGAGGGCTTCTCTCATTGCGGTGGCTTCTCTTGTTGCAGAGCACGGGCTCTAGGCACGTGGGCTTCAGTAGTTGTGGCTCACAGGCTTAGCTGCTCTGCAGCATGTGGGATCTTCCCGGACCAGGGCTTGAACCCATGTCCCCTGCATTGGCAGGTAGGTTCTTAACCACTGCGCCACCAGGGAAGCCCACTGCTTACTTAAATAGATGTTCTAGATGTTTTTAGACATGGAAATTTTTATAGATATTAAAAATTCATTAATGAATTTAGAAGAAATGGAAAACTACTTAAGGTACTTATCATCCTAGCATTGATGAGATTATGCCAACTTCTATAACTTTGCTTTAAGAATTTTTTTTTTTTTTTTTTTGCTTTTAGAATTTTAATGCTCATTTGCTCTATTGCAGTCTCTGAAGAAACTTAATCATGCCAATGTGATTAAACTGAAAGAAGTTATCAGAGAAAATGACCATCTTTATTTTATATTTGAATATATGAAAGAAAACCTCTATCAATTAATGAAAGACAGGTATGTCTTTATGAAAACTTTTTCCTTATTGTCTCCTCCATGAGTCCCTTGGATCCCTTCATTATGTCACACTTGGCAATGTACAGATCTATCAGTCCATGAGGTAGCTTTAAATTAGTTATCTTTATCAAAGGATAATATCTAACGTTGAAGAACCATCATTTTTCCGTGGTAATAACTTAAAAGTCAAGGTAAATGTTTCATATAAACACACTATCTATCTATACTTTTTGAAACAAAAATCTATCTATAGTTTAATACTCAATAATAAAGCTGGCCTTGGGCAAAATCGAGAAAATTTTCTTTCTTACTCTCCCAAGCATCTTGCAAAAGGTTAATGAAGGAATGGAGGAAAGAATGAAGTTGCTTTTAAGAAAGGATCTAATACACTTGTTTATTAGAATGCTTAAGTGAATCATAAAAATGTGTTACCAGTCCCAAGGAAATTCTCATTTTAATTTTTAAACAAACAAACAGAATCTCTAAAGAAGGAGAGTTTCAGTCACCTGCCATGAGCTTGGAGAGGATAACATTTTGGTGGTAGCTGCTGGTCACATCTGGGAGTTTAATGCCCATTTTGTCTGTTTTTAAAGCCAGAGTTGTTCAGCAAAAGAGCCTAAAATATGAAATGAATTTCCCAGTAGAATGATGTTGATTTCTCTCTCTCTATTTCTTACACACACTCTCTCTCTCTCTCTCTCTCTCTCTCTCAAGGTCTAAGGATGGTCAGTGAATTTTTCTTTAATCATATCATTCCTTCTTTCAAAAAATACTGTATTGAATGCCTGTTAATGTTTCAGGCTGATATCATTATGACATTAATAGCAGTTAAAATAAAAGTAAAGGATATTCTACCTCTCAAATCAGTGTTTATTTTTCTAGAGTTCTTTCTAGCTCCTGTATACAGACATGCATATTTTCTATGTAGTTGTAATTTTAGTGGTGATGCATTTTTCTGTTTGATTTATTCACTTATAGGCACTTTTTAAAATTAATTATTGTATTTATTTACTTATTTATTGGCTGCGTTGGGTCTTCATTTCTGTGCCAGGGCTTTCTCTAGCTGTGGCAAGTGGGGGCCACTCTTCATTGCGATGCGCGGGCCTCTCACTATCGCGGCCTCTCTTGTTGCGGAGCACAGGCTCCAGACGCGCAGGCTCAGTAGCTGTGGCTCACGGGCCTAGTTGCTCCATGGCATGTGGGATCCTCCCAGACCAGGGCTCGAACCCGCGTCCCCTGCATTAGCAGGCAGATTCTCAACCACTGCGCCACCAGGGAAGCCCTATAGGCATTTTTTAATGCTGATGCATAATCTTCATAGTTACCATAGCTAGTGTGTTCTGTTAAATGACTATACCAAGCTTCACTTACCTCTTTGAACTATTTAAAATAAATAACCATCAATGGGAGAATAGGTTGGTAATTACAGTGTATAATACTGATGTCATTATTTTGTAGCCATTAAAAGTGATAATTATGAAGATTATAAGAGTGCTTATAAGTGAATAAAAAACAGAAACCAAAGTTGTATTTATGTAACATTGACACCTAATATAAAAGTTATACACACAGATGGATTAGGGCTGGATTAGAATGCTGAAAAATCAAAATAGTTTCCTTATCAGGTGGTGGGATTATGGGTAATCTTCTGGGCTTCTAATAATAATTTATGCTCTTCAAAATATATGAAATGATAAACATACCCATGGTATACTGAGATATAATTTTGAAGAAAAAATTAAGTACATGTAAATACATGAAATATTATACTTTCATATGATTTTAAATATATATATAAGTGGAAGTGGTGAATGCAATTGCAAATGAACATTAAAAAGACTCAACTTTGGAATTTCATGATTCAATTCTGGATTTCTAAATTAAAAGGAAATTAAAGTGATATTGTTTAGAATACTATTCAATGTCAAAAGTATAAATTAAACCATTAACAACTGTACATGCTAAAGGGCTATTTGAGGTTAGTGGTATTTTTACACTTTGTTTTTGGTAGCTTAACTTCCTGAAATATTGTTTTTGAGGATTAATTTACAAGCCTTTTTTATTCAAGTAAACTTCTTTTCCATGTCAACTGAAGACCAATATACAAAACCTCTGCTCTGATACTGTAACTGAACCTTTAGTGTACAGCATTCTTTTTACAAATTGAATTACATCACTGTTTATTTGTTCATTTCTTCACAGAAACAAGTTGTTCCCTGAGTCGGTCATCAGAAATATTATGTATCAAATATTGCAAGGGCTGGCATTTATCCATAAACATGGTAGGTTTCATTGCCCTGCCCCTTTAGATTACTGTCACGGTCATGCATAGGAATTGTGTATAAACTGTTAAATAATATTACATTGGATAACTACAAGTTTGGAGTATGTGCCTACTAACTGACAGTTTTATTTTAAAAATTTAGAATTTCTATAATTCTATATAAAATAGAATTTCTATAATCTGTAACTATCTTCCTCTACAGCAGAATTTTTTTACAGTTTGATCATCAGCCTTTAGTCTCAGTTAACCCCATCCTGCTACCTCATTCCACCTAATTTTACCAGGGAAATGAAAAAAAAAAAAACAGGTCGCTCTTTTGGAAAAGACTGGAATGCTCTGATCTATCATGATCAATTATTAACACTTAAATAGTTTAAAGCACCTGTGCTATGGTATTTTCTAGTCTTCCTTAGTATTTACATTTAGTTGTTTCTATATTTGGAGAAATTATTTTTATGCATTTCTTATTTATGTAATCTTAATTTATAGTTTTTTGCGTATCTATCAAACCAAAATAAAGTTAATATTATTACGAAAAATTTTAGTGATTTAATGATCATTAATTTTTAATGATTCTAGTTTAGCATCACTAGATGCTTAGATATTAAATTAGGCTAGTTTATATCATGCCATTGCTGCACTGTGAGCACAGGCATTCAGAAATCACCATTAGCCTCCTTTCATGTTTCATCCTATATTTTATATTTTCTTTTCTCCTTTCTCTTTTAACTGCTACAGGAAATAATTTATTTTCTAGAAATGCTATGCAGAATTCCATATACACATTGTAAGAACATTCCTGAATCCCCAGGGGTTTTTTGTCTTATGTAAACTATTAAGGTCTTTAAAAGCCTAAAACCCATGAAAATATATTACAATCCATTGATAAAAGTCAGTCATTTATTAATTACATGGAATGTAAAGGATATATGCTATTTTAATTGTTCATATTGGATTCCTGGTCTTCAACTCATTTTTAAGCTCTAGTCAGCATGGTTAACTCTCGATATTTGCCTGCGTTAATTTATGCTAACGGAAGCAAGTGTGATGCGGAAAACCAAAAGCCTCAGGAATTCCCTGATTTGTGGAAAGAGCCTTGTGTTTTGCTGATCTTTTTTAGGCTGGTAATAAAATTGGCTTAGATCCCCTGGATATTTATCAACTATCAGCAACTTCAGAGCATAAGGGATTGAAGGAGGAAACCAGCTTGGAATTGAAAAATTGTTGATGAAAGTAAATAACATATGAGTAATCTAGAGTTGGCTTTATAGTTGCCTACATGGCGATCTGCGAAACCAGACTCCAAGAACAATAGACATTTTTACAAAAGCTAAATTATTCTTGCCATAGTTCGTAAACATCTCAGATGTAATCCTTTGAGAAAATAGATATTTTAAAAACAGTAGCTGTCAAAAGAAATGGACTAATATTTTAGTTAAAGTTAGGACCAAGTTACCAATATATTTATATTAGAGAGGATGGGGAAAACCTCAACTGTGGTTTAATTAAGATTTTATGGATTAATGTCACTTCACCATCACACGTGCTCCCATTCCTGTCTTCATATTATGAAATTACGATGTGTTTCTCTTGGAAGTTAGCGAAATGGATGGATCTCAGTAGCTATTTTGAGTAAGGAGTACCAGGTAAGCAGAGTACAGAACTGTTGTAGATGTCATGGAGAGCCCACGCTGGCTTTGAAGGGGTTAAAAAAGTTTAGGTTTAGAAAAGTCTTCCTAGCTCAAATCTGCATGAAAACCCTCTGGTGATGATGATGATCACCTACAATTGATGACCAGGCCCGTTCTTAATTCTCCACCCTGCAAAGTCATTAGGATACAAGTCATCTGTGTACAACCAATGTGCTTTACCTACCCCTTAGACATTTGCAAGGAGGGCTTTCTGCCCTCATTTTCATTGGGCTGCCATGCAGCTTTGGTAACTAACCATTTATTTTATACATTAAATTGGTAAATAAGCATTATAATTATTGGCGTTGTTTCAACAACGCAGCTACCAGGGGAGAACTGAGCTGTTAAATAATTTTAAAGGAAGGAGTTGATTCAAATGTGTGGCGTTCCATTTGTGTTTAATGGACTTCTCAAAGTGATTATACTCAAGGAATCGCAGGTTAAACTACAACGTGGTAGAGCAGTGATAAGACCAGCTTCACTGACTGAAGCCTGATATGCAGCGCTCCTTCAGCTTTCACTAGACTGCTTCTCTCCAAGCTTCAACCTCCTCATCTGCTACCCACTGGTGATCATAATACCTCCTTAAGGGTGTTGTTCAAATTAGCGGAGATAATCATAATGTGGCAGTATCTAACCCAGTGCCTGAACTCACCGGATCCACAAACAGAAATACATGTGGATATTTATTTTTAATGGCCATATATACTGTATGAACTTCCTCGCCAAATTATTTTGAAAGCAGGGTCCCCACCTCCCATCACTGTGTAGACAATAAATATGGTTTATTTTTTTCCTAAGCTCACCTTCCTAATTAGAACAGAGAGGCTCAGCTATCTTGTTAGTAAATCAAATATGTCTAGATACGATGATTTATTATTGTTTTTCCTCTCTATATTACCAAGGCTTTTTTCATAGGGATATGAAACCAGAAAACTTGCTTTGTATGGGCCCAGAACTTGTGAAAATTGCCGACTTTGGACTGGCAAGAGAATTAAGGTCACAGCCACCGTATACTGATTATGTATCCACCAGATGGTGAGTAGTTTTTAGCAATGGTCCAGAGGCATATGTCTCTGTTGACGCTTTCCTACAGTAAGTAGATCGTTACACATCTTTCTGGAGGTTCCATATCAAGTATTTAAAGCAAAATGTAGAACTGAATTTTTTTTGTATTCTTTGGAGAGAGAGAAGGATTGCCTCATGACTCTTGTGATAAATGAAAAGGGAAGGAAAAAGGATTTCACGCATCCATTCATTCACTCAACAAACATTTATTGAACCCGTTATGTGCTGGATACTATTTTAGGCGCTGGGAACACAGACGTGAACGAAACAGAAAAGAATCTCTGCCTCATGCTGCTTACATGACAGCCAATACATAAACAAACAAAGAATGTCCTGAGTTACCAACAGAGAGACATACACACGTTCATCACAAGCACGTAACAGTCCCATCTTGCACACCACCCAACTGTCCATCACCAGAGGCATATATATTCACCCAGTGGACTACTTCACAGCAAAGAGAATGAAAGGCCTACAACTACGTAGACAATATGATGAATCTCACAGACACAATGTTGTGAGCAAGAGGCCAAACAGAAAAAGAGCACACATTATGTGCTTCCATTTATATAAAGTACAAAAATAGAACGAACCTGTTAAAAGTCAGGATGGCGGTTACGTGGTCGGGGTAGGGGCAGTAGTGACTGGAAGAGCGCAGAGGAGGGGCCCTCTGCGGAGCTGGTAACACGCAGTTCCTTGGTCTGGGTGCTGGGCCCATGGGTATGTTCTAACTGTGAAAATTCAGCAAGCTGTACTCTAGGACATGTGCATTTTTCTGTACGTATGTTGTACTCCAATAAAAACAATTAAGAATAGTTGAGTATCAGATAGTGATACATGTACATCTCTACATATTATTATACAGAAAAATAAAGTCTGGAAAGGGACAGGGGATTGGAAGAGACAGGGGAGGGAAGGGGTATGTTGCTGTTTTCGACAGGCGGTCTCACTGATGCTGGGCTGGGGAGATGCTGGGAGGCAAGAGGCTTTCAGGCAGAGAAAATGCTGAGCGTAAAGGCCTACGGACAGGAGTGCCACCGTGGACTCTGCAAAGAGCAGAGTGAATAAGGAGGGCCGGAGCGGGAAATGAGGTCAGAGCGTTTGTGGGGTGGCCGGATGTAAGGACTGGGGTGTCATGCTCATCGGAGAGAACCAGGGGGCCCCTGGAGGGCTCTGAGCTGCCATCCTGAAAAGGGTCTAGAGGAGCAGAGGCAGAAGCAGGGAGACCAAGGAGGAGGCTGTTACACTATCTTGGGCAGAAAATGACAGTGACTTGGATCTGGTGGCCATGGAGGTGGTGACAGGTGTAAGATGCTGGGTGTGTTTTAAAACAGAGCAGATGTGATTTCCTGGTGAAGCAGATGTGGGGAATAAGATGAAGGAATCAGAGACGTCAGGGTCTTTTCCATGAGCAGCCAGAGGGCTGGAGTCAGCCCTGATGGAGACGGGGCTGCTGTGGAGCTCGTGGGGGGAGGCGCAGTTGTGTTTCGGGTTGAGGGGTGCCTCTGAGACAACCACGGGGAGATGTCACGGTAGGCGGTGGGACCTGTAACCTGGGGTTCAGGGAGCAGGGCTGGGCTGGAGACGTAAACTTGGGACACCTCAGTGTTAAAAATTACAGGGTTGGGTGAGGTCACTAAGGGACTGAATGTGGTTAGAGAAGAAAAGAAGTCTGAGGACAGAGCCTGGAAAGAGTGACAATATGTCCCGGTTTGCTGCGGACAGTCTCGGTTATCAACAGTTTCGTTAAAACAAGCTGGCATGTCTGATCGACCTCCGCTGTATGCTTCCCGATTCCTCCCTGGTCCGATCTGGTGACACGAGAGACCCAGAAACCAAGTTCACACTTCAACACATGGCTAATTAACAATGTCAGTTTTAAATGAGTGCCTTCCAACTGGCTTCGAAGAGAAAAATCAGTTACCTGATTTCTAATAATCATTTGATTTTTTTCATCACAATTCAGAGAATCAAAGTGAAGCTTTTGGAAGGTCATTCCTTGAAAAGTGAAATGTCTGACGTTGCTATGAATGCTATTTAACTTCAGTTAAAACCTTTGAAAATAAACTTATTTTTGCCGTGGTAATACAAGTTCTAGTGAAGCCTAGCATCCCAAAAACAGTATTCTTACTAAATTAAGAAACCCAGAAAGCAGACATTTATTTGGATTGGTTAAGATGCATATGTATTTTGTAACTGCATCCAAATAAGCTGCTAAATTTGCATTCTACCGATCAAAATAAGCTGCAGTTGTCAGAATTTACACATTACACGTACACGCAGAGGGTAGCTGCACTGCAGGATTTCTGTGACGCTACTGATGCTGACTACAAGGACGGCGGCAGCACGGCTGCGTGTGCTTTCTCTCTCTGCCGTCTGTCATTCGAAGTTTAGAATTGTTTGAGCCTTTGAAAAACTACTTTGTAAGTCAATTTAAATGATTTACAGTGGTATCTAGCTTTTCTTGTAAATAATCCCTTCATATCTTGGTTGCATTTTGCTTCAAATCACTTGGAAATCTTCATTCAGAATTTTTGATAAATGGACGCCAAAACCCCAAAGCTTTTGAAGTTTATGGGAAACTGCAATTATTGAAAATGAAGTTTGCAAACAGGAAGATAATGATATTTATCCCTACAAAAGCAAAGGAGGAACTGAACAAATTAAATAAGAGCTCAAAGTGTGCTAATTTTATCTTTTTTGTTTGTTTGTTTTTTTGCGGTACGCGGGCCTCTCACTGTTGTGGCCTCTCCTGCTGCGGAGCACAGGCTCCGGACGCGCAGGCTCAGCGGCCATGGCCCACGGGCCCAGCCGCTCCGCGGCATGTGGGATCCTCCCAGACCGGGGCACGAACCCGTGTCCCCTGCATCGGCAGGCGGACACTCAACCACTGCGCCACCAGGGAAGCCCTAGTTTTATCTTTTTTAAATGTATAATTAGAATTGGAAAATCTCCTCTTGCAGGGAAGAATCTTTTTAAGGAGCTTCTATTTTCAACTGGGTAAATTTAGATTCTACACTGAAATGGAATGAAATTGAGAATACTTGTTTTCAGTATCTAAATTTGGCAAAACATTCAAAACAATTTTGTCTCCTAAAAATATCAAAACATAATAAAAAGTGTTGGCAAGGATGTGGAGGAACTAGAACCCTCCTTTGCTGGTGGGAGTGGAAAATGGTACAAAACAGCCTGGCAGCTCCTCAGTGGTTAAACATATAGTTACCATGTGATCCAGCAAAATCCCACACCTAGGTACATACCCAAGAGAAATGAAAACGTATGTCCACACAAAAACCTGTATACGAATGTTCACAGCAACATTACTCATAATAACCAAAAAGTGGGAAAACCCCAAATGTCCATCAACTGAGGAATGGATAAACAAAATGTGGTCTAGCCATACCGTGGAATATCATTCAGCAATAAACAGAAAGAAGTACTGATATATGCTACAACATGGATAAACCTTGGAAACATGTTCAGTGAAAGAAGCCAGTCACAAAGGACCAGACAGTGTATGGTTCCATTGATGTGAAGTGACAGAACAGGTAAATCCACAGATAGACAGTAGATGACAGAAATGGGAGCGCAGGGCTATTGGAGAGGTGTGGGGGGTTCTTTTGGGGGTGATGAAAATGCTCTGAAGTTGATTGTGATGACGGATGCACAACTCTTGTGAATATACTTAAAGCCACTGAACTGTATGCTTTTAAATGGATGTACTGTATGTTATGTGAATTATATCTCAAAGCTGTCAAAGAAAGCTACTCTGAGTGGAAGCCAAAGGACAACACTGCAAAGCATTTAGGCTGAAACGTTTACGCATTTCAACATGGAAAAAAAATTGAGAATATCCTCCACCAGCTACCTTTGCCTTATAAATAGAGTATTTTTCTAATTAGAAATATTATCAATTAAGGAAATTGAGTCAATTGAGGAATCAGCACTTTCAAACAGATAAGCCAAAAGAAGGATGGAAAAACAAGCACAGGGAACTATATGCAATATCCTGTGATAAACCATAATGGGAAAGTCTACAAAAAAAATGTATATATGTATAACTGAATCGTTTTGCTGTTCGGCAGAAATTAACACAACATTGTAAATCAACTATACTTCAATAAAATGATTTTTTTAAAAAAAGATGGGAGAAAGCCCACTACTCAGGGATAATCTTTGTTAATCTTTTGTTTTCGATCCTTCAAGTGAATATATCAGGATTTAATGCGTTGTAAAATTATACGACTGCTCCCATTCAGAACGTATCTGCTTCCATTCAGAGCTTCTCCGCCTTTTCTTAATGTATTATATAGCATTTCTACAGTTATTTGTTGGAGTCCCTGTCTTAGGCCACTTGGACATTTCGTTTATAGTTGTCTTGAGCTCCACTACTTGCTTGTGGTCAGGAAAAATGTGTGCTAGTCAATATAAACCCAACACATTGTGCAGAGAGATGCCTGATACAGAGAAGGCAGTTAATACCTGGTTCTCGATTGAAATGCCTGACCAAACAACATCCTACTGCCATTCCACCTCTGAAACTACAAGCACAATGGCCTGTTTTGTTTTGTTTTCCATTTTCATAGGTATCGTGCTCCTGAAGTTTTATTAAGATCTTCAGTTTATAGCTCTCCCATTGACATGTGGGCTGTTGGGAGTATAATGGCTGAAATATACACGTTAAGACCACTTTTCCCAGGGACAAGTGAGGTCGATGAAATCTTTAAGATTTGCCAAGTTTTAGGGACTCCCAAAAAAGTAAGTACTTTTTTCCTTAAGTTGTTGTAACTTTTGATTATTTGTAACTTTGGGGCAGCTAGCTGATACTTTCATTTTCAAAAAGGCTGACACTTTAAGGGTTAATTTTCTTATCATCAGTCTTTTTTTGTATTGGGATGGGATGAGGGCTGCAAGAAGCCAGAATCCCACCAGACTGTAGAAAAAAGGGGCTTACCTTTCTTTAAGAACTTAAGGGAAATTTCTCTATATTTAGAATTCTATGTATTTAACTTTGGTCTGATGACCAGCCGATGACTACATGCTTAGCCTCTTTCCTACCTGTTCTGTGAATGTCCATTGGGATCAACGCATTAATGCCAGGTGTCCTGGATTTTATTTTCTCTTAACCTTTTCTTGTTTACATTTATATACCTCTGCCATGGATATTTAATTTCTTGAACTGAGTACTTTTCAATTAACTATTGCACTCAGCTAGACTTCACTTTCTGAGATGCACTTATTTAATAAGTTTAAGTTTGTATAATTACACCTGAATTAAATGAGCGTGTGCCTCGTAGTTAACATGAGTCAAGTTAACGCAGCTATTAAAGCTTTAACGTAACTCATTTCCCAGCTATGTGCAGTTTTTGACATTGGATGCAATGTATAACATATAGTGAGGATCTTTGTAATAATCAGTGTCTTTGTACATCGCTTGTCCTTACTTGTTCAGAGCCACCTGGGTACCATCATCACCATCGAGATCCAAAAGACCAGAGTTTAACATTTTGAAATTTATGAAAGTGCTTTCTCATTTTTTCCCTAATTCTCAACTCACTGTTCTTTCTATACTGTTTATAGCACTGACTTGTGTATGTGGTCTGGTATTTCATTTTCACATTTATTTATATGAGTCAACATTAAAATTTTCATACACAAGTGATTTTTATATTATTACTCTGTTTTAAATTGATCATTAAAAACAAATTACTTATTGCCTCCCCTCCCCCACTTATACATTCCTTAAACAGAGTGACTGGCCGGAAGGGTACCAGCTTGCATCCTCTATGAATTTCCGCTTTCCCCAGTGTGTTCCTATAAACTTAAAAACTCTTATTCCCAATGCCAGTAGTGAAGCTATTCAGCTTATGACTGAAATGTTGAGTTGGAATCCAAAGAAACGACCAACAGCAAGCCAGGTAAGACAGATCTCCCTGGTATAGTTGTGTGTGGGGGGTTGTTTGTTTTATTAATTTGAGGTTTTACAATATCGGGGATATTTTTCTTTACAAAGACAAGTCTATTTTCAACCAGAGTTTTACCAAGAGAATTAAGCCCTAAAGCTTAAGGCATCCAGTGTATGTTATGATTTAACTTCTAGGCATGTAAGATTCTTGGGAGAATTGCAAAAATAGCCACTCCAATGATTTTCTGTTTTGTGGTTCAAATGAGGAACCCTGTGGAGGTTGAGGTTGAAAGGAATTAATCTCTAATGATAAAAATTCAGGCACGTCGACACTTTGATCTCTGACTTCTAGCCTCCAGGATGGTGACAAAATACATTTCTGTTGTTTAAGCCACAAAAGCCTTAGAAAACTAAACGGTGAGGATAACTGTCTGGGGGAAAAAGGCTGTATTTCTCTGGCTTTTGAGGTGGGGGTAGAGGCATTTGGATTTACTATTCCACTTAGATGACGTACACTAGGAGAAAAACGATCCCTCCACCACCACCAAACGAAATAAGTGGTTGGCTATGAAGGCACAATGGATTCTGGACAGAGAATAAATGTCCACTTCAATAACCTTTCAAGGAAGTTTTGAAATCACTATTCTTTCAATATTTATTGAGCACAAACTAAGAAACTAAGTGCCTGGTAGTATGTTAGGTGGTTGGAATTTCAGATATGAATATACGACCCCTTTCCTGGCCTGGTGGAACATTCTGCAAGTACTCAATTTTCTACCACACTTTTTTGGGGGACAGAGGGCTTTGATAATTTAGAGACAGTTAACAGACAGATGTACAGGGATGATCCTTCCACCCAGAGGAAGGATGGTGGTAAAATTTAAGGAAGAATTTGCAAGGAAATGACATTTACACTAGGCATTAAAAATGTTGGAATTTGCTCACACTTTTTTTCCATCTAGCATCTTCCTTTCCCTTCATTCTCTGGCAAAGTGATAGAGCTCTAAACGTGGAGGCAGTGGCAGAACTGGAGGATGAATGGGAATGGGGGAATGGTGGGAAATGGGCTAGAAAGACAACTACGAAATAACAAAAAATCAGATTTAGAATTAGAAAAATGTCGACCTGATTTGCACAGGATAGTTTGTATTCTGTGTATGACTCCAAATGTTTATGATGAGCTTGTGTTCATTTCATAGTTTAAAAGAATAAAGAAGAAAGTAAAAGTCAAAAAAAAAAATTCAGGCACGTGACAAGCTAATTAGGAAGAAACTTGTCACAGGTAATAAAAGAGCATCTCTTCAGTTAGACAACCTCGTAGACTTTCCAACGCTCTCCTACCGTGTAGAGGACTCGGGTTCCCTCGACACGGCAGCATCATCCCTCCACAGGACTGGAGTAATGCTCCGTCTCCGGCTCCCACAAGAGGGCAGCGTGTGATACCCATGCTTGGCTCCTTTGTGACTATACCCTCAACACCTACAGATGAACCCTGTCTCATGGTCTTAAAAACGCCATGATTTTATCTGCAAAGGGCTTAACTTAAAAAGTCCTAACAGGCTTTATGGTATTCTTATTGTTATTTAAATATAAATTGAGGATTGAAATAAACCAAATAATTATTTGGCTTTTAAAAAATTTAACTTGAGACGATATTTTCTAAAGGTCAACTGGAAGAACAAATAGGAAAGAATAGCCAAGACAGGTTTGAACAGTAATAAGTAATCAGAGCACAGTGGTAGGGTTAGACAGCTTGCCCTATCAGACGTTAAAATAATCTGTAAAGTGATAGTAATTACAACAGTGGGGTACTGGCATGAGGTACTTACAGCTGCAGAAGCTGCAAGTCTGTGTAAGGTAAAATCTATATATATATGTGTATGTATCTGAAAGACTAGAAAGAAGTTCTGAAAAGAGAAACATCAAAATGTGAGCAGTAGTTTTCTCCTGGTGTTGGCTTTCGAGATGATTTTAATTTCTTCTTGAGAACTTTCTATACATTCCTTATTCTATTCAATCAATATTCCCTTAACAAACAGGAAAAAAGAAGTTATTATTTTTTAAAGATCCTCTGTTTCTTTAAGGATGGTAGCTGGTATTTTAAAGAGGAAAAGTTACAGATGAAGCCCTGGAATTACAAAACATTCATAAAGCTTCTAGCTCCAAAATGTACATTATTGACTTAGGAACAGTGACATACTAATTAATGGGGCTACTTAATCCAGAACCTGAGTCCTTCTATGTGTCAGGTACTGATGTATTTAAATCGTCTACAGTTGCTGAGTTCCACTTAGCAATGTCCATGTAGTTAACACACACATCAGGTGTGGTAGGGGACACAACGAAGTTTCTAAGGGGAAACTTAGAAGAAACACTTTTTCTACCTCTGCCAAAATATACACCTCCCTGCCCTTCACCTCTTCCTTGTTTACTATTTCACTGCCCTGCTTTTTAGTGGAAGCAGGGAGACAGGGAGAGGTTAAGTTACAGGAGTTGCCTCTGTCCATCTAAAATCTGCCCCTGCACGCCTGAGAAGTTAACTGTGGGTCAGGGCTACGCCTCCACGTAGGCGGGTACTGGCTTAGGGCAGGCGGCACAGGGGAACAGGGCTTCATTATCTTAAGGGGCAGCCCCTTCCCCGATACACACACACACAAAACAGCAGAACTGGGAACTTCCCTCCCCACCCAGACATGCAGTACTGATAAGGGGACCTGTATCCACAGCTGAGCTGCACAGAGAGCTTCAGACACTCTCCAGACCAGTTTTCACCAACCTCGGTACTTCTGACATTTTTGACCCGCTAATTCTTTGCTGTGGGGAGGCTGTCCTGTTCGTTGTAGGATGTTAAGCAGCATCTCTGACAGCGTGCCTAGATGCCCGGAGCGCCTCCCAGCCCCCGAGTGGTGACAGTAAGAAAAACGTCTCCGAAGGGGCAAAATACCCCCAGTTGAGAACCACTGCTCTAGCCTGTGTCACCCAGATGGTCACCAGCTCTGTCCCCTACCCCCCACTTCCATGCAGTAACAGTGATTTGATGACTGATCTAGTGAAAACTCAGTGACCATTTTTACTAGTACTTGTATAGTTTATTCCCATAAGTACTTTCTCTTTGCTGTTATAGTGTTAAAGCTTATTTCAATTTCTTAGAATTTTTTTTTATTGCTAGTAGACACATACTTATAGTTAGGCTAAAAATAACCCTGAATTTTATATGATGTTAGAGTTAATCATTTAAAATAAACTACAAGGAAGGTTTTCTTAACTCATTTCTTAATGCCTTTATGTAGTCTAAAACATTATCAGTATCTAGTGTTTTAGTTTGAGTTAATCCCTCAAATTCAGCCACTGCTTATAAGCTAGACTTTGTGTTCTATACGGAGTCTTTACAAGAACAGTTGCCTTGACTGGATGTTAAAATTACAAGTGAGTTATACATTCTTTCTACTAATATGTACTTTTTCATTTTTTTTAATGAAATTTTCTTCTCAAATCATTTTTTTTTCTGGGTATCTTTTTAAAGTCATCACATAAGGGGAAAACTGGATGCTTTCTAAATCTCTGAAACTTACCTAGACTAGTGATATATGCCTAGCCCAGCGCTGGACAAGAGTTTATATGCAATAAATTTAGGTGAAACCTTTTTCCATTTGTTATTTCCATGCTTCTTTAGGCATTGAAACACCCATATTTTCAAGTCGGTCAAGTATTAGGCCCTTCCTCACATCATCTGGAACCGAAACAGACTTTAAATAAGCACGTGCAACCACTAGAGTCAAAGCCACCTGTAGTTGATCTAGAACCTAAGCCTCTGCCAGACATAAGTGACCAGACTGCCGGACAGCCCCAGCCGAAAAACAGCCACCAGCCGCTGCAGTCCATCCAGCCGCCACAGAACACGGGTGTCCAGCAACCGCCCAAGCAGCAGAATCAACAGAAACAGCCGCCAACGCTATTTCCAAGTATCGTCAAAAACGTGCCAACCGTAAGTAGCCCATAATGACACTTTAGACGCGATGGTTTGGTTCCATTAGGATTTTGTTTCTAGGCATTCTAAACACGTTGGGGAAGATATAAAAGATGTCCGTCTGTTTTCGTTTCTCAATACAGACCCAGAACCCAAAACAGTGTCTGGCACATGGTAAATTCTCAACAAATATCTGTTGAATGAATGAATGAATAATTGTCCACACTGTTTTTGAACCACCTCCAGGGTCTTGAGGAGTCCACATTATCTTTGGGGCAATTCTGACTACTCGAAAGTTCTTCCTCATCCTGAGCTCAAATCTGGTTTCTGTAGCTTTTAATAAAAGTTAATCACTCTTCCAGAAAGGCAGCCTTTCAGATATTTGAAAATCGCCCTTACATTATCTGCCCCTTTCTCTAAGAGAAACACCCTCAGTTCCTTCACGTACTCCACAGGGATGTCATTCACCGATGACTGAGTGACCCTCGGTTCCTGTGTCTGAAGGAGCCTTTGAGTCCCCTCACCCTCCTGCTTCCCCTTCCAGAACCAGAGGCAGACAGTAGGTAGGAAACATGAAACAGGGTGAACCACCGCCAACATTCCAGAACCTGTGTTCACTCATGCCATCAAGGACTACTTTTTTTTTTTTTCTTGGAAGGCCCATAAAATGCTGACTCACACTGGGAGGGAAGGAAAGGAAGTTAACCTTACTAAATAGCTACTAAGTGCCATGCACTATGCAACACCCTCCCACCCTCTCGTATGCATTCACCAAGTTAAAGTACCCAATAAACTAGCCCGCAATTTTGAGATGGCTAATGAGCTGCGGAGTTGGGATTGAGCATTCTGTTAACTAAAATTCCCAAGTCTGTTTTGTACAAGTGCTTCTGTTCAATCACATATTCTACACCTCTCATTGTGTATTTGATCTCTAGGATTCAAAAATTGGAAGACCTTATTTTTACCTCTCACATTTCTAATAAGTATTTTTGAACCCTTATTTTGTCTTCTCAGTTTAACCATTCTGCCCAGCTTGTCACCAGCTATGGAATGGTTGTTCATTTTTTTCCTCCTGTACCTTCAGGATGAACAGAATAGCAATGTGCCCTTGGGACAGCAAGCCACTAGAACCTTCTTCTAGACGGATACTGACCCATTAATCAGTACTCTTGGTCAGATTATTGAACTATGTACTTGTCTCAGTCTGCTCAGGCTGCCATAAGAAAATACCGTAGACTGGGTGGCTTAAATAACAAACATTTACTTTCTCACACTTCTGGCGGTTGGGAGATCCAAGATCGAGGTGCAGCCAACCTGATTCCTGGTGGGGCCCTCCTCCTGGTTTGCAGACAGCACCTTTTCTTGCTCTGTCCACATGGCAGAGAGAGAAAGCAGCTCCCTGGATTCTCTTCTTCTAAGGGCACTAATCCCACCATGAGGGCCCCACCCTCATGACCTCATCTCATCCCCAGTTACCTCCCAAAGCCCCATCTCCAAATACCAACCCATTGGAGTTGGGGTATAAATTTTGGTGGGACATAAACATTCAGCCCATGACAGTACTGATGCTCCTCTGTTGTCCTTTCATTACTTCATTTCTTTGATAGCATGAAAGAAGACGCTGTCACCTCCTTTGCTGAAGGCCATATAGAGTACATGCATTCGCTGTCTGCTTTTTATGAAAAATGGTGGCCTGTGTGATCTACCACCTTTTCTCCTTAGGGCTCAAAAACTTTCTCTTTAATAACTGATGTTAGAATCTTTGCCCTCATCTGGTACCAAACTTATTCATGTGGAGTTTGCAAAAATCCACCTTCTACTTTATAAAAATTATTAATATTTATCCCTTTCCAATTTTCTTAGACATGAGATGACTTGATGTTACTGGCACTGTTCAGCAGGACCCTAACATACAGTTCAAATGAAATAATAAGAGTCTTGGACTCAGCCAAGTATGACTTTTCATTAACTCCACTCACCTGGGGCTTTAGACCTTCTTATTCTCCTTAGTCTGGAGCTCATTCTCTCTGACCAAGAAACAAGAGTGTAAGAGACGTTCGCAAATACCACTTTTTGTTCATCATCCATCACTGTGGCACCATCAGCTTCAAGCAATGGCATATCCATTCTTTAAGCATCTTCTTACTTCAAACGCAGCTGTATTTGATGACCTTGCTTCCAAATTCCCCAATTTCCCATTGCCTTTTGGATTTTTCAGTTCATATGCCCCCAAACCACCCCACGGTCTGCCCCAGACCAGGTCTTCTTCCTCATTCCTTATTTTTGTTAACAGAGCTACCATTCGGAGACAGTCAGGCTCACATTTTTAAAGCCATCCCTGCCTTTCCTTCTCTGTGTCCAACAGGATTACATTCAGTGACTTATGACAGAACCTGACCACTGTGGCTTAAACCACGAGGGGCTGTTTTCCTCTCATAGCGAGAAGGTGGGGGGTGGGTAAGCCAGGGCTGGTGCAGCTCATAAAAGGAACCAGACTGCTCTGTCTTCCTGCTCTACCACCCTCCTCAGCAGGTGGCTCTCGGTCCTGTGGCCACAGCTGGCTGCTGCTCCTTTGGGGTTGCATCTGCCTTCCAGAAGGGGGAAGAGTGGAAGACACTGGCACAGGCCGGCAGAGCCTGAACTGTTTCTCGTGGAAGCCCCTCCCAACAGACTTGCACTTACAACTCACCGGCTAGGTCGTGTCCCACGGCTACACAGAGCTGCAAGGGAGGCTGGCATTTCAGATCTTTTACGTGGGCATATTGCTGCCCTGAACAAGATCTTAGTGAGGAAGCAGCGTCTGCTATACTCTCCTTGACCTCAGTTCGGAGAGAGAGAAAAAAGTCCAGACCTTTTATTTCTTGTTAACAGCAAATGTATTCTTTCCTGAGCATTCCAACCACCATGAATCCGTGGCTCTTGTTACCGCATGCCACTGTTAACTGCAAAGGCCTCCTATCTGAGGAGCAGGACCTTTCTCGAATGCTGCCTTTATCACATCACTTCTTAATCTCAAAAACATCCCGTGTTCTCCACTGCCCATAGGACAGCTGCGATGTCCCAGGCATACAATGAAGGCCCTTCATCATATAGCATCGGCCTGTCTTTACAACCCTGTCCTCCCTCCAGCACGAACCATCTGCTTCAGTAAACGCAGTCCGCCCTTTCCCCGCGGAACACACTCTGGCACTCTCCTATTAAAAAGCCGCACTCTACGCATCTCCTCTTCCAAACTCTAGAATAACAACCACAACAATAATACCTAACCTGCAGTAACGCTTACGTGCCAGGCCCTATCCCAAAAACTTTCAATGCATTTTACTATCAAATCCGAAAACACTAAATTACATAAATACTGTATGTCGCCATTTAAGGAGAAAGAAACTAAGGCTTTGAAAAGTTAAGTCATTTGCCCAAAGAGACACAGCCACACGTGGCAGGTTTCCAGATTACACTTCAACGAAGAGTCAATTCTGATCCTACGTATTCAAGTCTCCCCCAACCCAAGTTCACAGAGATCTGTCCTCTCTCAATTTCCTATCATATTTTTAGCATGCGCTACCTATTTTCCTTAATACTTTTAAATATGTATATATGTTATCTCCTTCACTGTATGGAAAGCTCCTTGAGGATGGGGACTCTTAGCCTCAAATATAATAGCTTGCACATAAAAGGCATTCAGCACCCGATTAAAGATGACACCGGTTTCCCACCACAGAAGCCAAATGGCACTCTGGGCCATAAAGGTGCCAGGAGGCGTTGGGGTCAGCCTGTGTTCAAGGTTGAAGACGGCTGGGAAGAGTTTGAGGAATGTGACTTCGGGGTCTCCCATTCCAAGAAGCCAAGCATGCGCGTTTTCAAAGAAACGAGGAAAACGGATTCTCCATCTTGGTAAGATTTCACATTTCTCGGGAAGATACGTTTTCATCAGGCAGCAACTTTACTCATAAATGAGTGTACGTGTTAAAAGACAAGAAGCAGCTTAATGTTGTTTCTCCTGTCAAATCCAGACCTCTGTGCTCACCTCTGAAAAAGTAAGACTCCGAGTCCCTCACAGTGACAACGCCCGGCACCAGTGGCTGAGCGTGTGTAGAGGGAGTTCTAGTTCAGTTTTTTGTGTCCCCTGTTCAATTATGATCCCCATAATTCCCATTTGGAATCCACATGCCGCTTCTCAGACAGCAAAGCACAGTCTACAGAGGTACTGGCCTCCTCTGGTGGTGGTGTTCAGAGTTCATCATTTACTTGCTTGCTCTTCTCAACTTTTTTGATCATTTTCTGAACTTTCCCTGGAAGCTTGGTATCTCTAGCAATCCCTTTGCAGTTGGCATCATCATGAGTGCATTATTCAACTTTGAGGTGAAGATGGGTGAAATTTTGGTGAATATTTTGGGAAAATATTTCCCTTGTCCCTGCCCCGCCTTGGAACAGAAGAGGAACAGGGAGAAAAGATGACGCAGGAGTCAGGGAAATTTCTCTCATAGCTGTTTGGCACTGTCCGGCACAGAAGCCTTCACTTTGGAGAACACATATCTCTGAAGGTAGATGAAGACTTTCCGTGGGGAGATAATTCCCAGTCAGTCAATTTCCAGATCCCCAAGTTCCACAGCTACTCCTCCCTAAAATCCCCAAACTTGAGAAGAAACAGAATAAACCTGCTTAATCCCCTTCCACTTTTAAGTCAGAAAGTCACACCTCTCAGCCACTTCCAATCTTGCCGGGCACGAGGGTGTAACAAGCGTTGAGGTGTTAACCAAAGGGACAGATCAGAAGACTGGCTCTTCACCCTTCCTGGTCCTATATGTATTTCTCTTAAGGGGAAAACCCGGCATTTAGAAATAGGGTATTTTAGCCTGTGTTGGAAAGCAGGATGTAAACACAGTGGCCGGAAATGAGTAGGGCTGTTTCTAATGAAGGGGGCCCCCTGTGCCCAGGGCCACCCCAAAGTGGCGGCCAGCAGTCCAAAGGGCCAATCACAGCAGTGTCCATCCCTCAGAGGGTTGACGTGGTAAGCAGGACTTTCCCAGGGGGAACCGCGGAGGCCTGGGGTCAGACAGGTGACGAGAGCTGGCCAGGGGGGCCAGGCCTCTGCACGGGAAGAGGCCCGGTCACAGGTGGGAGAGAAGGTCGTGGTGCAGGGCTGCACACAGAGCGACAGGCAGCAAAACCAATTGCAGCCCCATCCTCTGGCAGCGAAGGCTGCCACTCGGACAGATGGCCTCGGGAACTAGACAGAGCTACGCCTGGATGCCGGAAGGCCTCCGTTCCTACACAGAACTGGGGCCGTAGGAGGCCGGGCACTGGGGGACAGAGGCACCCCGCCAGGCACCCCGCCAGGCGCTCGCCACCGCCCAAGTCAATTCTGCCTTCTGGGGAACAGGCACATCTCAACAAATGCATGATGTCTCTGTATGTCATTAGGCTCTTTGGAAATTCTGTTTGGGGACTTTCCTAACACTTCCCCACTTCAGTTCTCTTAGCCCAGCCCAAACCGTGTTCTAACAACCTTAGTGGTTACACACTGCTGGAGTAGCCAGCTGGAGATGGCTGTGATTCTCTTCCCTTCCAACATGCCATCTTCCCACATCACAAATCCACAGCTGCGGCAGTCGCAGGAAAAATGGAAACATACTGCACACAGGCAACCTGCTGCTTAGTTACAAAGCTTTCTGCCTCCTACTGTCCAGTATTAGGAAGGATTCTATGCACTGCCCGATATCTACTCGGGGAGAGGGGCTGTCATTTAACGCTCCTATCAGCAGAAGGTCTCTGATGGAAACCACTGACTGGCTTGGAAAGATGGGCGGCGGGTGGGCGAGAGCATAGCAGCCGTCATCTTCCCGTTCTTCACCCGGTGATGCTACTTTATGTTGACTTTCAAGGCTTCCAGAGTCAGTACCTGCAGGCCCCAACCACTCAACAGAGGAAAACAAGAACTTACCCCCTGCTATTTCCCTAAAATCTGATTCTGAATTGTCAACTGGTTCAACAGCTAAACAGTACTATTTGAAACAATCAAGATACCTTCCAGGTAAGCAGAGAAAATAAAATGTTTCCTGGTAACTAGAATAGTTAATAGGTCACGCTCCAGGGTCTCTGAATCTCTGAAGAAAGGGCACCAGTGAAATACAATCATAGCGCTCTTTGCGGGCTCAGCCTGTCGCCGGGACGTTTCTGGACCTCCTGCCTCTGTGAAGTCTGCTCAGGAAATGCCTGGCAGCCACCAATCAAGATGGTGAGGATGCTTCAGAAAATACCACCCTCCCCCACCAAAGCTATGCCTTCTGTAAACTGTATGCAAACAATTCTGCACTCCCATTACCAGTTCTTATAAGAGGCAGAATTTTAGTAATACTGTTTCCTAAATGATCTGATTTGTGTTTTTAAAAGATCCTTCTGGCTGCTAGGTAGACCACGCTAGGGGCTCAAAAAGGGTAGGGGACTGGGCGAGGGGCCCAAGGAGACTGGTCAAGAGGCCACTGCACACGTCTGGATAGAGAGGGTGATGCCTTGTTCCCTAGGACGGTGAGAGGAGTGGGAATTAAGACCGTAAGAGAGGGTGCACTTTTGAAAGGTGCAAGGACACCAGTTGGTTAGTAAGTTTCGGTGCTGAAACCATGAGGAAGTTCTGATCTGACTGCAAAAGTGGGGGTGTAAATAAAGCTTCCAGAACAGATTCATGGGGGACACTTTTCCCTGTTTAAAAAAGAAAGAAAATTGAATTCATTTCACTAAAATAAAATCAGTGCTTCATCTTCGCTGTAGAAGTGCGCCCTCTGGTGGTGGGAGAGGGTATTGTAAAAATTTTAGCAGACACCTGTTTTCCCAGCTCTGCTCCCCTCATGCGGTTTTCAGGAACGTATTTCAGGGCACCTGAGACCCACCTGATCATTTCCTTTTTCACCAGAAAGATCTAACAAATTCTACTAATTACTCTGGGTCAGAAGCATGGCTGTAATTGAAGCCTAAGAAACAGACTCAAAATTAGAAGGAACTGTTTGAAATCTAAACCTGAGCCTGACTGTACCCTATTTTGGCGTGTTTGGTCTCAAAGATGTGGCCCCTCTGGAGCTGGGTGAGATCTGAAACGAGAACTGAGCTCAGTTCAGTCACTTGGACAAACATTTACTGAGCACCTATCGTGATCCAGCAAGTGCAGAGGACAGAAACGCAAAGAAGTGATCCTTGACATTTATTTATGGTCTGTAGTTAATTCACTGAATATCCTCAGGAATAACAAAGAGTATTATCTTTGGGGGGCCTTCCTTTTTTTTTTTTTTTTACCATAAAGCCAAGTATTAAGGTCTTATTAAGCATCAACTTTTAGGATCATGGGAGCTCTAGAAATGTACCATATAATTTCAGGGCAGCCTGACATTACACTACAAGGATTGGCAGATCTGTGACACTGGCCTTCAGGGAGAGGGACGCAAGAGTCATAGTTATTGACCTGCTACTGACCGGCTGTGTACTGGAGCACGACTCTGAGATTCTGTTTTCTGTTACTTAACGATGGGACTGCAGTCATCCATCAGCTCGCCCCGTAAGCCTTGGGTACTTAATTATCACAAGGTAGTTGTTGCAAATAGAGTATACAGTGGAGGTGCTAACGATCTCGGCGGTGCCCTCTGCTCTCCCTCCCGGCCCCAGCACTTTTGAAACCCTGTTCTGTGGATCCTTCTCGAGTCCCGTTATCACTTACGGTCCTTCCTTCCACCCAGTGTATCCAACGTCCTGTGTCATTTGTATATGTGCCTCGCCTACTGCATTTTAAGTTTCTTAGCGAGACCCACGAACTCCCCTGTGATCCGCTGCCTGCTCCCCTCTCCAGCCTCACTCTGGGCCACGCCCTGTCCCTGCTCCATCCTTGCCGAGGACTCCGAGTTCTTCCCCTTCCCAGGTCCACCGCCCACACTGACGCCTCTCCCAGGAACACACCTCTCCAACTCCTACCAAGTCCTTATCATGACTCACATTCCAGCTTAAAGTTACCTTTTTAGAAGACTGGCTTTGTGGCTTCTGTTTGTTGCAGCCTCAGCATCAGATTCTTCTGCATAATTTGCACACTGCTAATTACTCACCTAATTATAACTGTTCGTCTCCCTTCTCACTAGAGTAGATTATAAGAGCCACAAGGGCAGAAACTGGTCTACTTTGTTCACCACTTTTTCTCCAGTGCCACACACACTGCCTGGCACGTGGTAGGTGCTCAGTAAATATTTGCTGATTGACTTTTTAATATCCTTTGAGGGGACAGGATGATAGTATATTAATTTTTGCTTCTCTTTAACAGTGTTTGGTTGTAGAAGGTACCCCAGAAAAGCTTGTAAACTAATACATGTTTTAAAATTCCAGATATTGTCTATTTCCAAGAAAATTGAAATCTTTTAACAGACAAAGAGTTAAAGCAATTATTTTCAATAGTGTAGTATGTATTTACTGAAAAACAAAAAAGACTAGGGATATCGCAAGGCTAATCGTATTAAAATAATTTAAGCATTCAGGGCCCATTCTTTGTTGAACTGTATTTATAAAAAATATTCACCTAAAGAGATTTGTAGTTTTCTCCCCTGACCTTGCACCTTCTTTGGGGGTAAATATCTTGTGTGTGTGTGTGTGTGTGTGTGTGTGTGTGTGTGTGTGTGTGTGTGTGTGTGTGTGTTAAGATGTTTTTAACCTGAGTAATTGCTACCTAGTGCATCTTCTTTATTGTCAGGGAATTGTCTATTATAGTTCTATTTGTAGGTATTTTATTAGAAACCAAAATCCATAAAGAGCAATATCCTGTAATAAAGGGAAATGATCTACCTGATGGGAGTGTTTCCTTAGAGAACTGACGACAGGTAACTTTGCAGCTTGCTTCGGAACCACCAGGCTTGTTTCTGGCTTTAGAACAAGGAATATTATTATATGTCTCATAAATGTGAAACCTTGCCAAGGAGCTCACTTTGGGAAAAGTCAAAGCTCCCTTGAAACAGGGACTGACCCTCTCTCTACATTATTAGCAGTCCTCGGTAAGGATGTTTTTCTACACTAAAGAGAACTCTACATGTATGACCCAGAGGCTTAGACAGTGTGATGTCTCTGGCATCTGCTAAGCTGAACCCAATTTAATTATCAGTCAAAAGAAAGCAAGTTCAGGAAGTTCTCAAATCTCTTAAAACTAGGTTAAAACAACACCCTTTGACCACTGGGACCAAAGTCCAAGGCCGAGTCCACATTTCACAGATTTCAGAAAATCATAAACAACTAGCTGTTTATATTTTACTAGATCCGATATGCAGATAAGCTTCACACATGGATCTTCACGTGTACTTCCGAACTCCTCAGTCCCCCTGGATTCTTGGCCGCACGTCTGTTTTCCCCAGCTACCCCAATTGCCCCTCAAGGGTCTGGCACAGAGCAAACACTCAAAATAAGTGTATGACATGGAAATATCTTTTGGAAGAAAATTTTTGTGCCACCTCAAATTTTAAGAGACATTTAGGGCTTCCCTGGTGGCGCAGTGGTTGAGAGTCCGCCTGCCGATGCAGGGGACGCGGGTTCGTGCCCCGGTCCGGGAAGATCCCACATGCCGCGGAGCGGCCGGGCCCGTGAGCCATGGCCGCTGAGCCTGCGCGTCCGGAGCCTGCGCTCCGCAGCGGGACAGGCCACAACGGTGAGAGGCCTGCGTACCCCAAAAAAAAAAAAAAAAAAAAAGAGAGACATTTAGCAAGAAATGTCCAATGTTTATCATTACTTGTATTACAGAAAATAACTTAACGTTTCTAAAAGACACCGTGAGGATTCCAGGTTATTGTATTTAGGGCTGAGGATCATGTGAGGGTCCATCAAAAAGCAAGTATTTGCTATAGTCTAGTTTGAACGTATATTTTTCCTTCAAGTGTATGATCGCACTCTAACCTTTGAAATGGCTGTTTTGTTCTTCTAAGGTGTAAACCCCAAGAACGTGTCCTTGACAGCCAGTGGGAAGGATACGAACCCATACACCTGGAATAGCCAGCTATTTCCTAAGTCGCTGGGACCCACGGGGGCAGAACTTGCTTTCAAAGGGAGTAATGCAGGTAAGGCAAGACTACATTTAAAGTATGAACTTACACTGTTTTCCTTCTGCGGATTTTTACTTTTAAATGTTTCCCTTTTCCCCAAAGTATAAAAATAGGTGGGGTGCTAGTCAAAGGACTAGTTTGATATATTGGTGCCAGTGTTGAGAAAGTGAGTAACTCTGATGATTGGGGAACAAATAAATCCTTTTTAAGTCAAGTGGTTTCCAGTTCTTAGCTTTCAAAAAACTGAAGGAGAACCTAATTGAGTTATAGCTAATAGATAATTAAAAATCATTTGTGAAAATAACACAATACTGTAAATCAACTGTACTCTAATATAAAATGAAAATTTTTTTGAAAATCATTTTTTATGAGATCACTATGTGATATTTGATCTGTAACTGTGAATAGTGTTCAAAGACTATAGTAACAGAGCTGTAACAAAACACCTTTCATTCCCTACTATGCATTTACAAGATTTCTCCTTGCTTCCCATCTTTAAAAAAATGAAGCTGAATCCTGTCTGATTTTAGCAATAAGTAATATTTATTGATGGATACATGAACCACTTGAAAAAGGTCCCATCTTTCTCATTAAGAGATGAATTTCCAAAAAAAAATCTGACTTTTCACTTTTAATAATCAAATTCTATAATATTCATCTTTTTTGATAAATTATATACAACGAATCATTCTAACTATAATTAACTTAATCCAGAGAAAAGTATTTTAATATACTTATGGTTGGTTATAAGAAATTTTTTTAAAGGTTTCAATCCATACACATTTTTTGACTGGTTAAAGACTTTAAAATTATACTCAGATAAAATCTGGGAGCTGACATATGAATGAAAATAAAATTTTAGAGAGAAAAGGGATTCATGTGAAATTTCTACCTGTTAAAAAGGACTGTGGTCATGTATTTCTTTTTTTTTTTTTTTGGCCTTACCACGTGGCATGTGCGATCTTAGTTCTGGACCGGGGATCGAACGTTGCCCCCTGCAGTAGGAGGGCAGAGTCTTAAACACTGGACCACCAGGGAAGTCCCATGTGGTCATGTATTTCTTAAGTCAGTACTGGTGAGCATAAAATCACTATGGTATTTAGATTCCACTGATTATATTTAAAAGAGAGATGTAATAGTTTTATTTTTAAATGTCTCTGATTACAGTATGCCAGAAGTTAAATCCTTTGCAACTATAAAACTTATGAGGAAACATTTTAGATATCAGCTTAAAGTGTCTGAAGAGGTAGAGAGTTCTTTCTTAAAAAAGATGTAGGTGGTATTGGATCAGAAGAGTTTGAGGGTCACTGTGTAGCAACTGAGGAGTCTCCTGAGGTGTTCTGATGGGACATCAAACGCTCTGGGTATTGTATCCATTTAACAGTGCTGTGGCACTGCAATTTGCTAATTTTTTCTCAGTTATTTAAAAATAATATTCACTGAACCAAGTGGTTAAATACAATCAGGTGAAATGACAGCTGCACAACTTTGAGTCTCGGGGAAATATACGACTGACATCAAATCAAAGCTGAGACAGCACCGGGAACATTTTCTCGGAGAAACACTTTAAGGTTTCTTTCTGCATCTTTTCATTAACCATGGAATCTATTTTTTCTCTGCTTTTCCTATAACATCCTCCTTATTGTTCATTCTTTCCTTCCATCTGCCTTCTCTTTAGAAGAAAGCATAATTAAACCAATTGAAAAACTATCATGCAATGAAAGTTTTCCTGAAAAATTACAGGACTCACAAGGTAATTTCTGGGCCTTGTAGATGAGTACAATTAGTTCTTTGAATCTCCTGTCCAATTTTCTTCTCAACATCGACCCCAAATCTTGTCATAAAAGGCTACTACGAAGGCCAAGGTCACCTGCTTTTAGGGGTCAGATCAGGACTCGGGCAGACAGACACACCACCAAGAACCTCTTTCTTCGGTAGTTGGAATTCTAAGAGTAATTAGCTCTCAAAAGGCTCTATGCTTGTCTTCTTAAATTAATTATGACAAGTTAAAGAAATCAAGCAAATCTACTAAAAATAATTAAAAGAATATTTTCTAATTTTATAATCAATATTCCTGGAAATTTTTTTAAGTTCTGAGACTCATTTCTGAGCATGAACCATCATTTAAAAGAAAAAGTTAACCAAATTCACAGAGATGATGGATTTCCTAGAATTTTGCTGTCAGTGGTTTAAACAGTGCTAACTATTGGCTCCAACCTAAAAATTTGCAGCTCACAAGGTACTTCAAATGAAAAGCCAAAATAATTTAAGAAGACTTAATTTTCTATGCATTTTCCCTTAGCAACTTCTTCCTCCAATAGGAAGAAGCATCCTGTAACCGATCAGTGCATGGGTTTTAGAGCCTGACGTGTCCCTGTTCACTCACTAGCCTTGTGATCTTGGACAAGTTACTTGGGTCCTCTAAGTCAGTTTCCCCGCCTGTAAGACAGAGGAAATAATACTGACCGAGGCAGTATTATACGACCACCCCTAGGATTTTTGTCACACAATAAGCATTTAATAAGTGTTTGCTCTGATGATGGGGATGAGGGTGGGAGAGATCTTTTTTATTTTGGCCATGCCACGTGGCATGTGGGATCTTAGTTCCCTGACCACGGATCGAACCCGCTCGCCCTGCATTGGAAGTGCAGAGTCTTAACCATTGGATTGCCATGGATGTCCCGGGAGATATGTTCTCAGGCTGCTACTGAATGGGATTACTGCCTTGAACTTTCAAAAAGTCTTCTGAAGTCTTCTGATTCGTGAATTAGAACGAGTACCTCAAGGCGAAAAGAAAGGACAAATGAGGCAGCAATGCCTACGCAAAATTCAGCAGTGTTAAAAATCGTATGAACTGATAACGTGTTTACTGTGTGATGGCCTTTAGGGTCTGATAAATAACACTGCCGGTTGACATGTGTTGGTCCAGGAGCAAACACTTATTGAGCGCCTGCTACGCACAGCACCGTGACAGACGTCAGGGACACAGGAAGGCAGAGTCCAGCCTGTGGTCAAATGACACCATGTGAAAATAAGCTTCAGTCGTAGCTGCCAGAGGAACGGTTCTTTGAAACCACCAAGGCGGTCAGAGCCCTGATTCACCTTCTCACTGACAAACCTGTCCCTTTTCTGGTGTAGCCAGGCTCCTTAAAAGAGAAGTTACATTCATTTTTCCTCTGATTTCCACTTTACCCCTCAGCTCACTGCAGTCTGTCCTCAGCTTGCCTCGGGCCGCTGAAACAGCTCCTGCCGCGGCCTGTCCTGCTAGCGGCCAAATCCCAGGGCGGTGCCAACCCCACCAGACCTCTGCCTTATTTGCTGCTCCTTCCTCGTCACACGCTGTCTTCTCTGGGGTTTCCAGACCCTATTCCTACCGTCTACCTCTCCACCCTCTCCCCAGCAGGGTCCTTTTCTTTTCTCCCCCTTAGTGCTCTGTTCCCCGGGTTCTGATCTGTTCTGGGTCTTTGCACATCCCACAGTCCCTCTGGGCTGGCTCCTCCAAGCCCATGGCGTCATCACCGCCATGCCCCGATCATTCCAGATCTCCAGGCCTGCTGGACCTCTGTGACTTGAATCTCCCATGGGCACCAGGTCTTTACCCCACACCTGACTCTTCCCCTGTATCCTGTTCTCAGTCACCCACGCTACAGACTTAGGGGTTTATGTTACTCTCTTTCCCACCCCTCCCACCCCATACACCTGCTGGTTCCCTCCTCCATCCCTCCATGACGGTCTAAGTTCAGACTCTCTTACTTCCTCTCTCACTTCAGCTACAGCAGTGCCCGCCTGACTGGTCTCCTGCCTTTACATTTCCCCCCAGATTGATCATTCACTAATAGTGATGAGGATGGTGACAGCTGACACGTGTTGGACAGCAGAGCCTATGCTAAGTGCTTTGCATTCACCTCATTCAATCCCTACAACAACCCCTATGAGAATAGGTGCACTTATCAGGGTGATTTTACAAGATGAAGAAGTGCTCAGAGAGCACCGCAGGGATGGGGGCTTCCTGGCAGGAAATATACTTTCAGGTTAAGAAGTGGAGTCATAAAAACCTGGGTACATTCAGGGGGACACCTTGGGTTCATATTCTAATTTGGTCACTTACTAACTGCGAGAAGTTAGCGAAGTCAGGTGTGGATAGTAACATGCATCTAAGAGGGTTGTTATATGGACTGAATGGGAATATCTGTAAAACCGTAGTGCCGCGCATGAAATATAGACGATGCCCCCAAAAACAGAATTTAGAATTAGTAGTGGTTGTAATCAAAGTTACTCTCCGGTGCTTTAAAATATTAACCTTCTGACTCTGAAACTTTATGATACGTCACTAGGAAATCTTGGAAGTTATGCTACTTACAATCAGTCAGGATATATTCCTTCCTTTCTCAAAAAAGAAGTGGGGTCAGCTGGCCAGAGGATACACTTAGCACCACTCGGTGCGGCAGCTTCAGGTAAGAACAAGTTCAGATACAGTTTTTGAGAATTCTGATCAGAAAGGAGCTTTTTAAAGTTTATAGTCACCTTTCTTGAGTGAAGACTTTTAAATTAGTCTCAGCTATCAACTGAAGTTCTGTTTTTGGCAAAATGTCCCATCTTTCTCCCAAAGATGTGGTTTGCGAGTCTAATAAGAGGAGCTGCCTCTGATTCAGTGGTTCTTCTCGGTCCGACACACAGATTGTGCCACCGAATCCTCCCAATGACCTGATGAGGTAGATCTTTTACAGGTGAGGAAACTGACATTGAGTAATTTACCTAGGGTCACACAGCCTGTAAACAGCGGAGCTGGGATAGACAGTGTCTAATTCCGAAGAGTGTGCTATGCTACACGACGAGATGTGCGAGGATGCACTTTTCAGAGCTTCCCGCCTGGTACCTGGCACGGAGCGGAAAGCGCAGCAGATGCTGAGACTCTGTTATCTATCAGTTAATGGGTAGTCCTTCTGCAGCTCCATCTTAGGGCTTAGAACTAAACTGCGGCAGAACTTTGACTGGCTTTTGCTCTGTACTATATTAGGTGGTGAAGTTTTATTCCCCACCCTCCGACGCTATGACTAATTAGGTCACCTGCTCTGCAGTGGCGTGGCGTGTGACAGCCACATTCAGGGGGACGCTCTTGAAACTGATGTGAGGATTCTGTACTTGAGTTGACCAGATCTGACTATGAATGTTCTCTAAGTTATTTCAGTCTAAAATAGATACTCTTCTTAAAGCACCTAAAATAAACATTGAGGCAGATAATTACAAGTTTGATAAGATATCTAGTTACAGTTTAAGTTAAAAGCTGACTTCAAAAGTCTTCTCCCAGTCTGTCCCAGCCAGGATCTTATATTATAGAACTCCTGATTAGAGTTACCAGTCTTTAAAGTTCATGCTCTTGGAGCTAAAATTGTAAAAAGCACTGGACTTTCGTAATTTTTTATTTCTTACCATGGCAGAACTGCTTAAGCAGTACTCAGTTACCTTATCTGCGAAAAGAACTGCTTCATTATCTCTCTGCTGAAACAAAATATATAAATAAACATTTTATATACAGCAGTAATTTTTATAAAGCCTTAAATACTTTAGGGCAGCCTTATCATGAGTCATTAGCCACAGCTTGGTAGCAATTTTTAATATGAAGGCAGAAAATCATAACGTCTCAAATTATTTTGAGTACCTGCTCTTAGAAAGTGCAAGTGGGTATTTTTGAACATATTTTTATAAGGGATTGGAGGCCTTTATATATTAATTATTCTGTCAGATTAGCATGCATATTCCTGTTTTCATTTTTTTAAGTAAAATGCTTTCTCATAACTTTTCATCTCTTCATTTTACTCTGCTTATCAGATTTTCCTACAGATCGTGATAGGAGGAAAGGTAAAAAAAAAAAAAAGAAGTAAATATTAATCATTCTCAAGTGGTCAATGCAAATCCTTAGGAAAACACTGTTCTGTAAGAGATGTGTCTTCCAGCCCTCCCACTGGTGTGACAGTTTCCCACAAGAGAATACAACCAGGTCATTACCGTATTTACTCGACTATCTCCCCTTCTCTCAGCCTCCCTCTCTACTCTTCCTCATCCTCAAGTCTGGAGAAGAAAAATCACATTAATTTCTTCCTCCCTCCCCATGTCATCTATCAACCCAAACCCCCTCATACCTCCTTGTTCCCTGCTAGAGGAGTGACTTCTTTCAGACACAGCCGCCCTCTAGAAGCACGGGGCCCTGTTCTACGTGCTGTACATGCATTAACTCACTGAACTCTCTAAGACAGAAGGTACCATCATTATCTCCATTTTACAGAAGTTTTCTTGCTATAAGTTATATAGCAGTGACACAGATTACATTCTTAACCAGAGGCAAACACCCTTTCCTGCAGCAACATTTCCTACAAGAAGTTAAATGCCCTTGGACACATGCAGGTTTTAAGATAAATGCACAGCAAATGTTGAGGGCTGCCAGCTCCGTTCTGGGGAGTGGGGAGGTGTGGGCACAGCCAGCTGCTGAACAAAGCGTTTCTTTGCCCCATATGAGACCTGGGCTCCTCTGTCAGCTACTAAGCTCTTCACCAAGGGTGCTGGAGTCCTAAAACTCTTGTTATTTCTCAGAAAGGAATCCTAAATGTCAACACTACCGCCTTACTGGCAAAATGATTCCCTTTTCAAAGAAGGTTTCACAAATGTTGGCCTGGACACAGTTTCCTTCAAATGCATTTAGGACTTAGACTATGTCATCATCTGGAAAAAAAGCTTCTCTGGATGTTACTCCCCAGACGCCTCACTTCTCACCTACTGTTAGCTTAAGGATGGGTTTTCCCTTCTCCTTTCTCTCAGTCACGGGGACTTACTGTCTCCTCCCTCCTGCCCTCCCCTCCCATGTGCTCTCCTCTGCCCATGGTACCATTCTGATGTGAGTGCACTAATTTATCAGACTGATGCTGGTCTATACTCCAGTGGGTTATGACTAAAGGGCTATTCCTAGAAAATATGGTGCACTTAACTGGCCCTTCTAGACACTGTCCCTGTCTTTCTTAAGGAGATTTTTATTGGCTTTGAGAACTTTAAACCCAGTAAGAGTGGGATGAAATGACCCGTCAAACCAAGGAAGAACTCTTGGCCTCCTTGTCCCAACTGAACCACAAAGCAGTTGGGGTGACTGTCACCAGGGCAGCTCCTCACGTAAGGATTTGTCCCCTTTAAGCTGAGGTTAGCAACACATCAGGACCCACGTGTTCCCGTAAGTTCCTCCTATACTTCCAATTCTACAGTAAAAATAGACGAAAAAACTGGGAAACACATGCCAATAAATATAGTACAGCTAGTGTTAGGTGTACAGAATGGTTAGAGGGTCATTTCAAAGTTGACGCCTACAGAGTATAATCCAAGAATGGCAGCTGCCACATAGTGTGAAAAGATATTTAAATCCCAAACAGAAAGACGGAACATCAGAGAGAACAGCTCTGATACCTAGCTCCCAGCCTGAAGTGAGGAAGGGGTGAAGGAGGGACTGAGGATATTAAAGTTTTCTCTGAAATGATTTACTGCTTTGTCATCTGACACGTTCAAGCAATCTGAGCTTATAAATTGTTCAGGTAACAAATGTCTAACACATTAAAATTTTCACAAAATTTTCATCAGCCAATACATGTATGAATAAAACAAACCTTGTGATGAAAGGTTTGGGATCCTAAGAATGGCTCACTTTTCAAAGGGATTCTGTTATCATCCATCGATTTCCCAATAAAACATGAAGTTTCTTGACTCCAAAACCCACATTTTCATGTTTAAAGAGAAACCTGCTGTGTGACCCCATCTGTGGGACTCCACGAAGCCAGAGCTTTACAGGATTCACAATTCTGAATACACTTTCTGTAGTGATACTGTGTTCAGACATTATTTAGATGTAACCACAGTGTGATTTTAAACAGTCACTGACACTGTGGGTACTGCCCATTGAACTTAAACCAAGGAGTTGTTCTTGGTCATCCAAGTTGGCATTGCCTACCAAAACATGATGGGCACTTCAGTGAGCCCAAATAAGAAACCGTAGCAGTGTCAGAACTATAAACCAGAAATTATGGCGCTTAAGCTGCTGAAAACGCTAACTGGTGTCAGCATAATACTACAATAGAATTTTTGGCTTATATATATAATTAAAAAAAAAAACTTAGAGACCACTGAATTAATCTTTTAAAGACAAATTCAGATTTTCGGACTTCCCTGGTGGCGCAGTGGTTAAGAATCCGCCTACCAACGCAGGGGACACGGGTTCGAGCCCTGGTCTGGGAAGATCCCACATGCCGTGGAGCAACTAAGCCCGTGCATCACAACTACTGAGCCTGCGCTCTAGAGCCTGTGAGCCACAACTACCGAGCCTGTGCTCTAGAGCCCGTGAGCCACAATTACTGAGCCTGTGCTCTAGAGCCCACGAGCCACAGCTACTGAGCCCATGCGCCGCCACTACTGAAGCCTGCACGCCTAGAGCCCATGCTCCGCACAAGAGAAGCCACCGCAGTGAGAAGCCCGGGCACTGCAACGAAGAGCAGCCCCTGCTCGCCGCAACTAGAGAGAAAGCCCGCACGCAGCAATGAAGACCCAACACAGCCAAAAATAATTTTTTTTAAAAAGATAAATTCAGATTTTCCTCCATAAAATGAACTGCTTTATTTTGAATTTAATAATCATCTGAATAAAATTCTAATTTCTGATTCTGCTTTCTTTCAGAATATCCCTGGAACACAAAAACGGGTCAGGGGCAGTTTTCAGGACCTACTTATAATCCTACAGCCAAGAATCTAAATATTGTGAACCGCGCACAGCCAGTCTCCTCCGTGCACGGGAGGACAGACTGGGTGGCCAAATACGGAGGCCACCGATAGGAGTCTGGTGTGAAGTCCCACAGCATCGCTCCAGAGTCTGCGCAAGTCCCCTGACCCCGGGAAATGTCTACAGATGTCTACTTCTACTGAGTTCTGGAAGAAATATGTAATAGTGGGTACTCTGAAGAGCAAAACTCATCTCCTATTTTCTTCCTTTCCTAGAAATGAAATGCATTTTCTGAGCGTCATTGCCCACAGCGCTGATATATGGGTAGGACTTTACTAAGTATTGAATAAACTATTTGCCAAAGTGTCAAGTATTTGATATACAAATAGATACTAAGTACAATAAGAAGCTTTTTTTAAAAAAATGCCTCCAGAAATAAGTGTTCAGAGTGTTTTATATTTGCCCAAACTATTTAATATTTCATTGTTTAGCCTCAGAGGTTTGTTTTGTTTTGGGCTTTTATAGCAATTACATAGATGTCTGTGGACTGTCAGTTACGGTTCTTATTTGGCCAAGGTTCTACTCTACCATTTTGGCAATGGCAGAAAGATGGTAATTTATCATTTTTCTACTTTGGAATTATGGAAGCAATGATAATTCTAATCTGAAGCAGGACATCTTTCTTAGAAATAAGTATTTCTTTAACATAGAGATGTCAAAATCACATCACCTGATTTTAGTGAAGAAAGAGTCGATTGTTCGATTTTGATCAATACAACTGCTATGAATTCGTGGTGACTACCAAACCCAATGGCTTGATGACTTCCAAATTAACCAAGTCAAGGTTCTGTCATCTTCACATCAAGTGTGTTCATCAGACTTTCAAAATACATTTGTTTCCATATTCCCACGAGGCACAAAGATGAAGTATACCAGCTCGTTCCGCAAAGCAAACTCTTGCTGCTGCTGCAGACAGATCAGACTCAGCTCTGACCTTCACACCTGCTCTGAAGAGCAAATGCATTCAGTTGCTATCGCAGTGATTTCACTTACTACATGTTTTCTTAGTTTTATTTCTAAATTGGTAGTTAAAATAGACATTTTGAACTTAGGACTACTCTATTCGAGCCTGTCATTTTACGAACTCGATATTCTTTTTAAAGAATAATGTTATCAAACTGCTCACTTTTTATGTATTTTATGACTTTGTAACAAATGCTAATGTAATTGGTATCATCTTGTGGACATTATACAAAGGCATAGTAAGAACATGGTATTTTTGTACAGAAGATTCAGCTCACCTTCTTGAAAAATGTTAAAATCTAAAGAGTAATTTATGTTAGTGGTAATGGTTATATATATATTTGTACAGTTTTAATTAATGTCTCAAAGCAAAAATATTCTTTTGTGTTGCTGGGAAACTTTTAAACTCCAAATAGATATTAAAATTAATATGGTTAACTAGTGTGTTTTCCTTACATTGTTAAACTTTATACTTATACTCTGAGGCCTTTTTTTGTTGTTAATTAGTCAACTGTTTTTTTTTCTTAGCAGTTTTAAGTTTACGGAAAATCTGATTGGAAAGTACAGAGTTTCCACATACTCCCTAATCTCCCCGCTCCTCAATTTTCCCTATTATAAATATCTTGCATTAGTGTGGTACATTGGTCACAACTGATGAACCAGTATTGATTCATCGTTATTAATTAAAGGCCATAGATTACATTAGGGTTCACGCTCTGTGTTGTACATTCTGTGGGTTTTGACAACATGTATAAAGACATGTATCCACCAATACAGTATCATACAAAATAGTTTCACTGCCCTAAAGATCCTCTGTGCTCTACCCATTCATCCCTCCCTCCCTCCCTGCAAACCTCTGGCAACCACTGATCTTTTCTTTTTATTATCTCCATAGTTTTTCCTTTTCCACAATGTCATATAGTTGGAATTACGAAGTATACAGCCTTTTCAGTTTGGGTTCTTTCACTTAGTAATGTGCATTTAAAATTCCTCCCTGTCTTTTCTTGGCTTGGTAGCTCATTTCTGTTTATCACTGAAGAGTATTCCATTGCCTATATGTATCCTAGTTTATTTATCCATTCACCAACTGAAGGACGTTTTGGTTGTTTCCAAGTATGGGCAATTATGAATAAAGCTGCTATAAACATTCATGTACATGTTTTTGTGTGGACACCGGTTTTCACTTCACTTGATTAATTGCTGGACCGTATGGTAGGAGTATGTTTTGTAAGAAAGCACCACACTGCCTTCCAAAGTGCCTGCGCCATTTCTCATTCCCACCAGCACTGATGAGAGTCCCTGTTGCTCCACATTCTCACCAGCATTTGGTGTTGTCAGTGTTTTGGATTTTGGCTGTTCTAGTGTGTAGTAGTATCTTGTTATTTTAATTTGCAATTCCCTAATGACATAGGATGTGAAGCATCTATTCACATGCTTATCTGCCATCTGTATATCTCCTTGCTGTCTATTCAGATCTTTTGCCCAATTTTAAATTAGTTTGTTTTCTTATTGTTGAATTTAAACAGTTCCTTGTATATTTTGAATAACAGACCTTTATCAGGCTGTCTTTTGCAAATCTTACCTCCAGTCCGTGACTTGTCTTTTCATTCTCTTGGTTTTCTGCAGAGGAGAAGTTTTTAATTTAAATGAGGTCCAGCTTACCAATTTTTTATTTCGTGGATCATGCTTCTGGGGTTGTATCTAAAAAGCCATCACCAAACCCAAGGTCACCTATGATTTTCTCCTACATTCTAGGAGTATTACAGTTCTGCATTTTACATTTAGATCTATGATCCATTTTGAGTCAATTTCTCTGAAAGGTGTATCATCTGTTGCAGATTCTTCTTCATGTTGATGTCTATAGTCCAGCGTCGTTTGTTGAAAGGACTTTTCTCCACTGAACTGCCTTTGCTAATTTGTCAAAGATCAGTTGACTGTATTTGTGTGCATCTATTTCTGGGCTCCCTATTCTGTTCCACTGATCTATGTGTCTATTCTCTCACCAATACCACACTGTCTTGATTACTGTAGCTTTACAGAAGTCACCTAAGTCAGTTCCTCAACTTTGTTTCTTCTCCTTCAATATTGTGTTGGCTACTTTGGGTCTTTTACTGCTCCATATAAACTCTAGAATCAGTGTCAATATCCACAAAATAACTGGGATTTCTGACTCGGATTGCAGTGAACAAGCAAAAATACAGATCAAGTTGGGAAGAACTGACATCTTGACACTCCTGGGTCTTCCCACCCATGTACAAGGACTATCGCTCTATTTTTTTACATCTTCTTGGACTTCTTTCATCAGTGTCTTGTCATTTTCCCCATATAGATCTTACACAGATTTGTTGGATTTATACCTGTTTATTTTAGTGCTAATGCAATTTTTAATTTCAAATTTGAATTGTTCATTGCTTGTAAATAAGAAAGCAAATGACTTTTCTATATTAAAGTTGTATCCTAATTCCTGTTATAATCACTTATTAAATCCAGGAGTTTCTTTGTTGATTCTTTGAAATTTTCTACATAGACAATCATGTCATCTGCAAACAAAACCAGTTTTATTCTTCGTTCCCAATCAGCGTACTTTTTATTTCCTTTTCTTTCTTATTGAACTAGCCAGGACTTCCAGTACAATCCTGAACAGAAGTGGTGGGAGTGAACATCCTTGCCTTGTTCCTGATTTTAGCAGGAAAACATCTAGTTTCTCCCCATTAAGAAAGATGTTAGCTGTAGGGTTTTGGGTTTTTTTAATAGATTTTCTTTATCAAGTTGAAGACATTCCTCCCTATTTTGCTGAGAGTTTTTATTATGAATGGTGTTAGATTCTGTCAAATACTTTTTGTGTATCTACTGATAATCACTGATCATACAATTTTTTTTTCTTTAGCTGTTGATGTGATAGACTATATTAATTGATTTTCAAATGCTGAACCAGCTTTGTATACCTAGAATAAATCCCACTTGATCATATTATGTAATTCTCTGTATACATTGTTGGATTGGATTTGCTAATATCTTGTTGAGAATTTCTGCATCTGTGTTTATATGTTTTTATATATATATATATATATATATATATATATATATATACACACACACACACACAGAGAGAGAGAGAGAGAGAGGGAAAGAGAAAGACAAACTTTTCTCTAAATTTGAAAATTTTCAAAATCAAATGTTAAAACAACATAAATATGTGAAGCAAAGATTAACCACAAATACAAGAAGAAATTGACATAACCACAGAGTGGGAGGTTTTTCTTAGAAAACAGATCTAGAGGCCTTAAAATAAGTACATGAGTAACACAGTAAACAAAATGTACCCACCATACATACTATATAGAACTTTGACCAATAAGGCAAAATACTATACATGTAACATGCACAAAAAATTGACCTTATGTTAGGCCAAAAAGAAAATCTCAAATTCTCAAATGTTGAAATATGTAAGCTACAACTTTTTTCCACAGTTTAATAAAAGTAGAATAAAAAAGTATGCCTCCAAAATCATCCACTAAAAAATTCAAAAACAGGGCTTCCCTGGTGGCGCAGTGGTTGAGAGTCCGCCTGCTGACGCAGGGGACACAGGTTCGTGCCCCAGTCTGGGAAGATCCCACATGCTGTGGAGCGGCTGGGCCCGTGGGCCATGGCCACTGAGCCTGCGTGTCCGGAGCCTGTGCTCCTCAACAGGAGAGGCCACAACAGTGAGAGGTCCGCGTACAACAAAAAAAAAAAAAAAAAAAAAAAAAAAAAATCAATAACATTGTTCTAACCACTACAAAGTCAAAAGGGAAAATCAAAAATGAAATAAACATCCTTTAGAAATGGACAGTGACGGACCTCTGTATTAAAACCTATAAAACTCAGCCAAAACAGATCTCAAAGAAAAAAAATTATACACTTGTTCCATTTATGAGAAAAACAAAAACACTGAAGACATGGTGAATTTGAGCATTTAGCTTAAGAAACTAGAAAAAGGAATAACAACTTTAAAAAGTGAAAAGGAATGAAAAATATAAAATAACGTCCTAGTAGTAACGAACATTATCCGGCACCAGGTCTCGGTTTCTAATATCACTGTCCAATAAAAGAAACCAGGGCTACTTGGAGAAATGGCTGATTCTAGTATCGGAGCATGAAATATACAAGATGAGCCTGGAGCCTCTTACAGTGCCAGAAAATAGGGAAGTTCTATAAAAACAAAAAACAAGGGAAAAAAAAAAGCCTACACTGATTGGCTATGTCAAAGGACCCATGGACCAACTGAAAGAGCTCCCAATGGTCAAAACTGCAACAATTTGAGCAAGAAAATTAATGGAGAAGTATTGGATTATAACCCAAACCAGGAAATATATATACATGATTCCATAGTGAAGGAGTGGATGGTTGGATGGATAGACAGGGAAGAAGAGGCATCTTCCATGCAGCAGAATTCCAAATAATTTATGTAGATACTCTGCCCTCAAGGAGGCAGAGCACAACTCCCCATTTTTTAAGTGTGGGATATGCATAGTGACTTTCTTTTAAAGAGTACAGTATGGGAAAGGGGGAAAAAAGGAATAGCTTCACAATGGAGAAGCCTGAGGAACACTACCTCAGTCAGATGATCAAGGTCAACATCAACAGTAATATCATGTTCGTATATGTAACTTTAATATGATGTGATGAAAATGACACTTCACCCCTGTGGTCTTCCTCCTAAAAACCGATAATCCCAGTCTAACCATGAGGAAAACACTAGACAAGTTCCAATGGAAGTGCATTCTACAAAATACCTGATCAGTACTCCTCAAAACTCAGTCACCAAAGACAAGAAAAGTCTAAGAAAGAGTCACAGCCAAGAGGAGCCTAAGAAGACATGACAACTGAATGTAATATGGTATCCTGGATAAAATCCCAAAATAGAAAAAGGATATTAGTTAAAAAATAAGAAAAACTGTACGAAGTATGGACTTTAGTTAGTGATAATGTATCAGTATTGATTCATTAGTTGTAACAAATGTATCATGTTAATGTAAGATGTTACTAATAGGGGAAACTGGGTGTAAGGTGTGTGGGAACTCTCTGTACTGTCTCTTAAAACTGTTCCACAAAATAAAGTCTATTTTTAAGAAATAAATTTGATCAATCTATCCATTCAGAAAATATTTACTAAGTAACCACTATGTACTAAGTGTAGTATATATATGGTACATATGGTAGAAAAGAAAAGGTCATTTCCTCCAATCTCATAGAACATACATTCCGCAGACATTAAATAAACACTCACACAAAAAACCCTGTATATTTGCAAATTATTATAAGTGCTATTAAGAAAAAAGAAAAATAACCCAGGATGTTATAGAGACTAAAGAAGGGATATAAATGTAGTGAGAGATGACTTAATTTTAAGACTAGGAGTCTAATTATACTTGATACATGCCTCTGCCTGCTGGGTAAAGAATGAATTGTTGGGCCAAAGCATGAAAACAGGGAGTCCTGTTAGAAGATTAAAAGACAGTGAGGCTTGGACTTGGGTATTAGCAATAGTATGGAAGAGAACTGAGATGGCTGCTGATAGAAAGCTACTGGGTTTTGGTGCTGATCTTGTTTCTTGCAGCTTTATAGAACTTCCTCATTAGTTATAATAGGATTTTAGTTGCTTGTCTTGGATTTTCTAGATAGACAATTATATTAGCTACTTAAAATCTTTGATTTCTTTCTTTTCCACTATTACTTTATACATCATTTATTTCTCTTATTTTATTACTTTGTCTAGTGTCTCTAGGAATCATCAGTGATAGCAAATATTCTATTGTTTCTAACTTCAACATAAAGCCATAGCACTAGATAAAGGG